GGCCGGTCCGTCAAGAGAGTCCCTGCACCACCCCCACCCCCACCGCGGAGCGCTGCCCCGCCAGGGCCCGAGCTCCACCTGAGAGCCCTGTCAGGCAGCAGCAGTCCCCAGGAGCTGTGACACCCATCGCTAACACCTCAGGGGACATCCAGCGCCTTAGGTGACAGCTAGCACCCTCCTTAACAAGTCCAGAGAGCGATCCCTGCCCAAGCAGAAAGCAGCGAGGTGGCCTGTTGGGGGCGGGGAGGTGGGAGGTGAGCACCGGCCGCCCTGGGGGCGGGGGCTGGACGGCGAGCAGCCGCCGCGACCACGAGCACTGCTGTGCCACCCGACGGTTCAGGGGCTTCCCGCTTCTGCCTCGGGGGCTCTCCAGCGAGCGACCAGTGTACAGGTGTGGGGTGGGGGCCCTTCTCGGAACGTAGCTGACAGGGGTGCTTGCCCGCCTAAAACCTCCCGGAGCTCCCGTTGTCATCCGGCCCGTCCCCAGGGGCCTGCCCCTCAGCCACGTCGTCCCAGCCAGGCACGGCCCGTGCCAACCCGTTTTTCCAGTCTCCCCTCTCTTTACATCCACAACAGAGGGCGTCCCACGTGACAGGCCCGGCGCCAGAGCCAGATCCGGCCTCGGGGCGCCCTGCGGCGACACCCCCACCCCCGCCCCCTGCAGGTGCACCTGTGCACGGAGCTCCAGCGCCCCATGGCCAGAGGGCGGGGGCACCGAGATTTTGACACAATATACGTTTGTACGCGATGCCTCTCTGTCTGGTCTATTTCCCTGTGTGGACCATCGTACCCTGAATTCGCCAGCCCATGAAGCCAGTTGGGAGCTCACTCATCTTGATGACCCCAGGACCCAGCACTAGAACTAGTAATAAGTGTTCACTATTATTATGTATCACTATATAAGTGGATCGTTTATGAATGAATGGACAGCAGAACGGCGAGAAGATGGCTGGCGGGCTGGCAGGCTGGCGGGCTGGCGGGCAGGACGCGGGGGGCGGGGCGGGGTTGGGGCGGACGGCTAACAGGCTTCCGTGTACCGGCAGCATCGGAATGAAACGCGGGGAGAGGAGATGACTGTGCGGCAGGAGGGCGGGCGGGCGGACGAGGATGGGTGTTAGTTGGCGGAGACGCGATGCTAGAATGTGCGAGGGCGGGAAGCAGCAGCGATGGCGTTGGGGTGGGCACAGGACGCAGAGGATGGGGAGCGCGGGGGTGGGAGGGGGGGGGGGGGTGGGCGGTGATCGCGCCTATGTAACAAGGGCAGCTGCTTCAGGGACGCTGAACGGATCAGCAGGCCCTGGGTGATCAAAGAAGGGTAGATGAGGCGGGCGCAAAGCGGATGAATTATCTGCCGTGGGTTAATCACAGGTACTGGGTGGTGGAGGGTCAATAAACCGTGAGGGGGCGGTTTGATGGATCTACCGTTGAGAATGGATGGGCAGATGACAGAGGAATGTGAGTTTACAGACAGTCAATGAGCGGGTCAGGAACGGGGGAGGAGGGGACCGCGGCCGGGGGTGCACGAGTAGAGGAACGGAAGGCCGACGAACGGACGGCCGCCGGGCGGGTGGGCGACGGGTCGTGTGCCGGGGGAGCCTAGATGGACGGTGGGTGGCGGCTACATAACACACGGATTTTGCGTCGATAGATGATGATTGCATGACTAATGGATGAAGGTTAGATGGTACATGGCTCTATCTTGGAGAAGGGATGCATGAAATATGAATGGCGGGTGTGTGGAAGGGGGAGAGCTAGATGGACGGTAAGTGCTGAGTGCTGTACGGTCCACGACTGGGTTCGTGTGCAGATGGGGAGAGGGAGGGAGGGAGGGAGGGAGGGAGCAAGTGGGCGCTGGATGGGTGCTGAACAAAGATGGGTATTGAATGAGCCGTGAGCAACGGTCGGGGGAGGAGGCCCGGCGAGTGACGAGGCGGGTGGGGAGTGGGCTGCTACGCTGGCTGGGTTAGGGTGCATGGCTGCTCCCCGCCTTCTCTGTGCTCTGTGCTGGGTGCTGGGTGCTGAGGACAATGCTTGGCACTTAGACGGCGCTCAGTATGGAATGGATAAAAAGGGACGGATGGCAGGTGATGCTTGAGTGCGGTTTGGATGAATAGTGAATTACGGCTGCATGAGGAACGGACGGATGCAGGGTGCTGTGGGGTGGACAGTGAGCGGACGGATAGGGATAAGCAGAGGGCGGGCAGTGGTGGCCGCTGGGGAGGTGGCTGGGGGGCTGTATAGCTCATACAAATATGAACGGGTGAAGGGTTATCAATGACTGACGGCGGCTGAATGTAAGCGGACGACCTGTGGCTGGTCGGATGGGTGGAGGCCGGCGGGTGGATGGTGGGTAAATCTGGATAAATAAACAGTAGACGGATGGTAGATTGACAGCTGACGACCAGACGTGCGGTGGACAGATGAAGGAGGGGGAAGCGGACGGATAGTCCTCAGATCCAGATGGGAAGCTGTTAGATGGTGAACAGTGGATGGGCAGGTGGCGGGTGGTTCGGTGGCGAGCACGTGTTGCACCGGTGGGTATTGTCACAGTGTATCCAGGCTTGGGAAACGGTGGCTGCGGGTGCAACGGCGGGTGCCTGGTGTCCGGGGAGCGGGCGGGGGCTGGAGGCGGGCCTCTAGATGGCGGCTGGCGGCCAGTGTGGGGGGAGGATGACACGGGGTGGCCCGCAGGAGAGGACAGCAGCTGGGCCCGCGGGTGCTGGATGGGGAGAGGGGGGGCTCTGTGGAGGGGGGTGGGAGGCGGGGGTGAGGTGTGCATCGGCCGGAGCGCCCACAACCGGGCGCATCAGGGGCTCCGCACCTTGGCCTCAGGTGTCAGGCCTGGGCATCCGGCTGAAGGAGATAAATCCTTCGTCAGGGGCTGTTTGGCTCCTTTTTGGGAATGAGACTGGGGATGAGGATGCGCGGAGGGGTTGGGCGTCCCCCGCGGGTGCACCTTGTCCCTCCCACGGCCTTGCCCACCCCTCCCTGACCTCTTCACTCCCGTTTGGAGAGTATCTTCGTTCCATGTGTCTGGCCCCACCCAGTCCCGCCCCCTGAATTCCAGAACCTCTGACTTGAGGCTCTGGGTCTCCAGGGGTGGCCATCCGGTTCTGGGGGGTGCGGCCTTGTCAAAGGGAGGCTGAGGCTCGTGTCCTACCTGGGTGCGGAGCCGGGAGGACGGACGCGCGGAGGGGCGTGAGTGTGAATGCGGGCCGGGCGGGGAGAGCGTGTGGGCGGAGAGCGCAGAGAGCGAGCGCGGAGTGAGGGAGGGCGAGCCGGCCAGCAGCGCACAGCCCCGCGTGGCGGCTCCTGCGCGAGCACCCAGCGCGCGCGGTGAGTGTGGGTGCGGCGCAGGGCGCCCCCTCCCCACCCGAGGCCGGGTCCGCGGCCCCGGTGCGCACCCGTGGCTCTGCCCGGCGCGAGCGGGAGGGGAGGAAGGGCGCAGGTTGGGGGCTTGGAGTCGGAGCTCCTGGGGAAAGGGAGGGCGCGGGGACCACCGCGCGAGCCCTCGGCTGCGGGACGCCAGGCTTTGGGCGCGAGCGGCGCCCCCGGGGCAGCGCACCGCCGTAACTGGCCGCGCACACCTGGGATCCGCCCGAGGTGTCGGTGGTGGGGGCCTTGGGTGGGCCGGAGCCGCGGGGCCGCGGGGAACACGCTTAGGCACTTGCTCTCTGCCTGCTCGACCCTTGGCTCCACCCAAGGCTACAGCTCTGTCACCTGTGTCTGTCATCACTCTTCTCTCCTTATCGGTGTTACCTTTCTGGGTCTGCTGCTTCTTTCTGCGCCTCTTTCTCCAGCTGTGTCGTCTCTGCTTTGTCTGTGGCCATCGGTTCCCCTGCCTCTCCTCTGTCTCTCACATCCACCTGGGTCTCCGTCCCGCTGCTCTGGGCTCCAGCCAAGGCTCTGGGGTCCTGGGGTGAGGTCCCGGTGCTGAGAGGCAGACCTGCAAGCGGTGGGCAGGGGGTGCTTTGGGACTGGGCAGAGGCGCAGCGGGAACGGCTTGGCTCGCCCGTGCCCCCCCTCTCCTCCCCTGGCTCTCAGGGGACTGAGCTGACCCCAGGTGGGTGTTGGGTGAAAGAAACCCCACAGCAGCCCCGCCCTTGCCGGGTGTCCCCAGGACGCCCTCCGCACAGCCAGCAGGGCGCCGCAGGCATTTCGCCCAGCTGGCCCCCAAGAGCCCCTCACCGCTTGCCCTCTGCCCGGCCCCCCAGCTCTCCTGCCCTTGTCTGTGGCCTTGGGTCCCTCCACAGCAGTGCCAGAGGGGGGTGGGTGTCTGCCTGCCCATGCCCGCGCCCTCCTGCCGCTGGCCTCGTGGGGGTGGACGGCCTGAGGCTGCGGGGCCTCTCTCCCGAGCTGCTGCGGTGCAGCCTCTGGTCCCGCCGGGCTCCCTCGCCCTACCCTGGGGCCTGGCCTGAGTGGGTGGGTGAGCAGGGCCAAGGCAGCCAGGGTTTCCCTTCGGCTGCAGGTTGAGGGCCCGACTCTGGGCATGTGTGGGGCATCTGCTCTGGGAGGGAGTGGGGACCTGGGCCCCTTTGCCCCTGGCTGCCTTGGACCTGTCTCCTGCTGCTCCCTGGCTCAGAAGCCCATTGGGGTGCCTCCTCCCTCCACGTTACGCACCGCCCCCCCCCCACGGCTGCCTCCTGACGCAGAACAACACCTTCCCTCCTCCCCACGGGCCTGGCTGCCTCTTGCTCAGCCCCTGGGCCTCAGATCAGCTGACCTGCCTCCGGGAAGGCTTCATGGGCCCTAAGGCGGGTCAGCCTCACCCCCACATGCCCCGCTGTCCGCAGCCCCGGGCCTGCGGTGTGGTGCCCGGCCGGCGCCCCCTGATGGTGGCTGAGGCAGGGGTTAGCAGCAACAGGCCCAGCGGGCCGGGCTGGGGTGGGGAGGTGGCTGGAGCAGCTTCCGGGAGGGCTCAGACCAGCGTCCGGCCCACGACAGACCTGTCCTCACGTCGCCTGCGTGCTGGCCTCCTGCAGCCCCACAGTGGCAGCAGCATGAACAGCCCCCGGCCCACCCTGCCAGAGCCCAGCCCAGCTGAAGAGGCCGGAGGCCGGGCAGGAAAGGTATGTGGTTGGGGCCCGGGGGTGCCAGTCCTCAACCTTGAGGGACAGGGACAGCCAGTCTCCAGTCCCGGCCTGTGACTTGGGGCGTGCCTCAGTTTACCCATCTGCATGGGGGAGGCGCTTGCTCTTACATATAGGGGTCTGAGGGAGAAAGCAATCGAAGGCCGAGCTGCCCCGGCTCACGCAGCGCCCTCTCCAGACCTCGGGGACCCCAGGGCTTGACCCTCGGGCCGTTCTCTCTGCTGGGCGAGGCGATGCCAGGATCCAGCCCTCAGCTCCAGTTTTCACGAGGGCTGGGGGTGATGCAGCTAAAAGAGGGCTCGCTACGCAGGGAGCACAGGCTAACACTCTGAGCCCTCGTTGTGGCCGCTGTGGGGGTGCAGGGCAGGAGGCACAGAGGCCAGTCCACAGCCTGGGGTTGCAGACCCAGCCTCCCTGGCAGGGAAGATGGAGAAAGGGGACCCCAGGCCTCGGAGCTCCAAGCTCTGCTGGCCTGGATCTCCCTCTGGGCAGAGGGACACCCCTGGCTGGGGGGCTGAAGGGCTTCTCTGAGGGGGCAGGAAGGAGAATGGCAGGTGGAGTGGGTTCCCGGAGGGGACGTGGACCTGCGACGCCAGCAGGAAGACCCAGGCGTCGGGGCATGGCCGGGGTTCCCGCTCTGCTGTTCCTCTGATTCCACAGCCCCATGAAACCTGTTCTCACACCGCAAGGTCCCCTGAGGCACTCGGTTAAAATGCCGATTCCTGGGCCCCACCCGGAGAGCCAGGGCGGGAGCCCAGGGGTGCGCATTTAAGCACGTGATCAGGTGGTTCTGCTGCTGAGGTTCAAGGGCAGTTTAGCAAAGTCCTGCGTGGTGTGTGCCCGCCAGCCCCAAGGCTCTCGGGCCGAGGCGGGGAGGTGGACGCGCACCGACCAGCCACCCTGCTAGGTGAGGGAGGTCGGGCGGGCGCTCCAAGAAGGACCCGCCTGAGCGGAGGCATGAGCTGGGGCCCGCAGGCCCGTCTGGGCTGCCCGGGTGCTGCCCACGGCCACTGAAGGGAGGGGCGGCCGGGCCGCAGCACGGGTGCCTGGGGCCTCGCCTCGGAAGGCCTTGAATGGGAGGCGGAGACGCGGAGGGCGCTGCGCCCCCACACACTCTTGTGGGCCCTGAACAATGAGCCCAGAGTGAGCTGCTCAGGTAGCCATGGCAACCGCTTCCCAGCTCCTCTGAGCAGGGAGGAGGCCAAGGACCCAGCAGGGGAGACCCCAAGAAGGGCTGTGCAGGGAACTGGAGGCGACTGGGGGAGCCCAGAGGCCCTGGGCTCACTCATGGAGAGGCTTCGACCTCTGCGGCCTCAGGATCCCACCTGGGAAGCGGGCCCAAGGGGCAAGCCCACTGGGCCCTGTGGTGCCCCCAGGAGAGCTGTGACCCCGAGTGCCAAGTGCCCCAGCCCCAGGGGTGGGGTGAAGCAGGGGCGCAGCCCATGGGGGCGTGTGAGGGCCCCGGCAGGCACGGGAGGGAGCGGGGAGCCCAGGGCCCCCGCACGGCCCTGACCCCCGCCCACGCCCCTGCCCCCTGCCCACACCCCGCAGGCCGCAGTGGGCGCCCGGGAGAGGGGCCCTCGGCCGGGCCAGCGGCTGCCGTCCATCGTGGTGGAGCCCAGCGAGGTGGGCGCGGTGGAGAGCGGGGAGCTGCGCTGGCCCCCGGAGGGCGCCCAGAGCCGGGGCGCTGCTGGTGAGTGCGGAGCCCGCGGACCCGGAGAGGGAGGAGTCGGAGCAGGCCTCCTGCCCGCAGGGCCCCCCCCCGCCCCCCTCCCCGCTGCTTGCCCCACCTCGGTCCGCCCTTTAGGCCTCTGCTGAGGCAGCACCTGGCCTGGCCCGACGCCACTCCCTCTCCCGCTTGCGCACGAGGCCCCTTCCCCCGCTGTTGGGCCCCGGGCCTGGCACGGAGGAGGTGAGCCTTGTCTCACCTTCGCCCTCCGGCCCCGCCTCCTCCCTCCTGCCCCCCTTGAGCGCTGTCCACCGTCCACTCTCCGCTGTCCCCCAGGACTTGGAAGGGCTGAGGGCACCCACGAAGCAGGGGGGAGGGCCGGCCCACAGCAGGCTCCTGACCTGCCCGCAGGTGCCCCGTTGAAGGTCCAGGGACTGCTGAGGCCGGACGCTCCCTGGAGGAGGCCGTGCGGGCAGGTTCGGAAGCGTCAGCAGGGAGCCAGGGCTGGGCCCAGGCAGACAGCGGGCTGGGCAGTGCGACCTCTGGAGGTCACAGGAGCGGGAGTCTGTGCCCTTGTGCCCTGCTGAGGAAATAAATTTGGCCTCCTCTGGGGTTGCTTAGCACCCTGCCTGCCCTCTCCGGCTGCTCAGATGTCACCCCCACCACCCCCTGCAGCAGCCCTCACTGGTCAGCCACGCCCTAAAGCTTGGGTCCAGAAGGGGTCTGTCCACGCCGCCCCCCACTCTGCCCCAAAGCCGCCCACCGGCTGTCAGGTTCCACTCACAATGGCAGGACAAGCTCTGGGGCAGGACTTGGGCCCTGGGTGTCCCCAGGTCTTTCCCGGACCTCCCCGTCTGCCACCCCTTCCTCTTGCATCAGGGCAGGGCCTGGTCCCTTCTGCCCCAGGACCCAGAGGTGCCCGCCCAGCACCCCACCGGCACCCGGGGGAGCTGTGGCCGCCCGTGGGGCTGCAGCCCCCCGGGCCCCCCAGCCCCGCGCGTCGCCCTGAAGCCCATTGGAAGCGCAGCCCCGCCGACACAGGGCCTCGGTGTCCCCGCAGCCCCCTCCCGGAGTCCGCCAGGAGCACCAGGGGACGCGCCAGACGATGCTGGCAGCAAGCGCACCACCTCCAAGAGCCAGGCCCTCACGGCCCAGTAGCGGGACAAGGACGTGGCCAGGCCCCGTTGTCCCTGCCAGCCCTGGATGGCTCCCGGACAGCGGAGAGGCTCTGCGCCCCAGCGTGCCCGGGCGGGGTGCACAGCCAGCAGAGCAGGCCGCCGCCCGCGGCCTTGCCGAGTGGGGCCCGGCCCACAGCCCCTGCCGCTCCTGTGCACAGTCAGAGTCTGGGTCGGGGTCGCAGCCCCCCTGGTCCCACAGTTTGAAGCAGAAATAAAGGCTTTTCCTGGCGGTGGGCACGCTTCGTGGGGTCTCGAGGGGCTGGGGACAGTTTTAGTTCTGCCAGTGGCCCTCCAGGCAAGGGTTTCGGCTTGGAGCCCACACTGACCGGGCCAGGTGCGAGGGACAGGCCACTTGGGAGCTCTGCGTGGGGTGGAGCCCAGGGCGGCTGGTGGGGCTCTCCGGGGGCCGGCCTCAGCCCAGGCTGCCCAGGCAGGACCAGCTTCCTCCGGGTCACCCCCTCCCCCACGCCCTGCTGGCTGGTCGGGTCGACATGGGGGGCAGAAGCCATGTCACTGCCTGGGCCCACTCCCCTGGTGTGCCATCCTCCCTCCCATGCTCCCAGCCCGCCCCTGTCCTCTGCAAGCCTGGCCAGCAGGCCTGAGGGCGCTCAGGGCCCGGCAGGGGCAGCGTGGCGTAAATGTTAGCTAACCAAGTGCGCAGGCCCTGGCCGGGTGGAGCAGGGCCCGGCAAGCCTGCACGGGGAGGCGGGGGACACGGGCCCCTCTGTCCTTTCCCGGAGGCCTTGCTAACCTCCAGGGTGAATCAGGCACCTTCCCAGGCCTGCCTTCCTTCTCAAAACAGCCCCCCCCCCCCAACCACCACCACTGCAGGAGAGGTGGAAGGCTGAAGTGCCAAAGTTTGCCTGGCAGCCTGGGGTTCTGCCCTAATTTTAGCCTCTTGACTCCATGGACCCCTGCACAGGCCCCCGACCTCTCGGTCTCCACGCCCTGTCCTGATCTGCATCTTGGGAGAGGCGCTTGGCTGTCCTTCAAGGTCCTTCTTGCCCTCCTTCTGCCCTTCCTGTTTGGACCCCGGAGGGGCAGGGGGTGTGGGAAAAGGAGTAGACATTTCACAGGAAGTGTCTCCAGGACTTGCTGACCCTTGGAATGTAGGGCAAGGGGCCTGAGCCAGCAGCGGCGTGGTTTCCGGCTCCTGATACGGCCCATCGGGTGGGCAGCGGAGCTGTGTACAGAGTGGCCTCCTCACCCCTCCCAGGCAGTGCCACACCCACTTAAACAAGACCTTCCCCAGGGCCCGCAGCCGATAAAAGAGGCGGATCGGAGCCCCACTGCGCCTGAGACCTGAGTGCGGAGGCGCCCACAGTGCCGCTTTGGAGCGCAGCACACGATACCCCGGCAGGTGGGGTGCAGGCGACCTAGCGTTGGAGTGTCAGGACCCGGGCGTGCCCGGTGCGCCGGGGGACGGGCGTCAGACCCAGGGAGGCAGCCCAGTGGCGGTGGGCAGAGCACCCCAGCCCACCCACCCGCTCCCCGGGAGTGCTCAGCAACCCGCAGCCCGAGCCTTCGCACGCGGCAGGGCCCCAGCCCACCCAGCGCCGCTGGCCTGAGCCTGCGCAGACGGCCCGGTAGAGCAGGGGGCGGCGTGGGGCGGGGGGCGGGGGAACAGACGCCCGGCCCGAGGTTAAGCCCCACTCCACCTCCCGCCACGGCCGGTGGGATTCCCAGAGGGGTCGCCCCATCTTTGCAGAGGCTGAGGCTCGGGCAGAGGCCCTGCGTCTGGCCCAGGCGCACAGCCGGCTTGGGCACAGGCCGGAGCCCAGGCGCCCTGCTCTCAGACCCGTCTCTGCCCAGAGCTGGCAGCACTGCCGGCGGCACCCGCCGCCTCTGGCCTCTGCACCGGGGCGGGAGGGAGCCTGGCTTCCCGGGAGCTCCGAGGACAGGCAGGCATGTGCGGGGAGGGGCCCTGTCCTGCCCTTCCCGGTCTGGGAGCCAGGTCCTCCCCTGAGGTGAACCCGTTTGGCCCCAACAGCAGCCCCATTTTACGCAGGAGGGAACAGGGGCTCTCCCGGGGTCGCGCAGCCCCGTGGGGGTGCTGGGTCCCCTCGCGATGGCGCCTCCTTTCCGTCTTCCCCGGACGCACCGGCCCGAGGCTCTTCTCAGGTGGCCAGGGGCTTTTCCAGAGGGGTTTTACTCAGGATGTTGGGGGAAACATCATGGAAGTGGAATAATAGAAACATCACAGCCTCCTGCTGGGAAGCGGGCGCAGGCCAGGGCCGACGTGAGGCGCGGCGGGACTTGAGGAGAAGCCCAGGGCAGCCCCAGACCCTGGGCAGCGCCAGCCTTTCAGGGACCTGTCTCTTGAGTGGAGGTCACCCGCCATGGGAGACCCCGGAACATGCCCTGTGCGCTGGGGAACGGGCTGAGACAGATGGAGGGGCCCCCAGCGTCCCCAGGGCCCATCCCCACGGGATGACCCTGGCCTCAGAGGCAGAAAACGGGGCTGGAGGCCTGGTCTCTCTCCAGCCAGCCGAGTGGCCGTGAGCGGGTCCCGGTGCCTCTCCAAGTCAAAGTGCCAGTGCCACACGGTGGAGAGCATCGCCCGCCGCGGGCTCCCTGCGGGAGAGAGGTGCCCCGCACCCTGCTGAACAGCCCTGGGAGGCCACCCCATGGGGACGGGTGACAGGCCCTCTGTCCCTTGGATCGTGCTCGCCCCTTCCATCTGTCGGTCTCTGACTGTCAGAGACACGTGGGATGAGCAGGCCAGCTCAGCGAGGGGGACCCGCCCGGCTGGCTGGGTGTCTTGTGGACTTGAGCTGGGCCCCGTGTGACCCCCGCTCACAGCGGGGAGCCCAGAGCTCCTGGGGCTAACAGCTCAAGTGGGAAACCAGAGGGCTTCCTAGAGGAGGCGCTGGCAGCGCTGGGCCCCGCGTGGCCCATCCGCTCGTGGCAGTGAGGAGCTGCAGCTGCCTTCCGATCTAGTGTGAGCTGGATTTTGTTCTCAGAAAGTCTCCTGTTGAAGCCCGAACCCCCAATGGCTCAGAATGTGGCTGCGTTCAGAGGCAGGGCCTCTAAGCTGCTTCAGTTAAAACGAGGCCAGGAGGGTGGGTCCCCATCCAGTAGCACTGGTGTCCTTCTAAGAAGAGGAAATGCGCATGCAGACACGCACAGGCGGGGGTCCGCGTGAGGACACAGGAAGAGGAGGGCCTCCCACAAGCCAAGGAGAGAGGCCTCGGGGAAGCCAGCCCTGCACGCAACTGGGCCTTGGACCTCCAGCCTCCAGGACCGGGAGAAGGGCAGGTCTCCGCTTCAGCTGCCCAGCCTGCGCGCTGTGTCCGGGAGCCCGCGGACCCTGCCCGCAAGCTTGTCTCTGTTCCCCTGGCGTCCTGCCCAGGCGCCCCTCCTGCTTTGTCCCCACCTAGTGGCTCCAGCCCAGGTGGGACAGGCCTGGGTCTGTCCTCCTCGGATTTTCCCTAAATTTTTTCCTAGGACGCTGGCAGCAGAATCCCCCACAACAGTGTGGGACCTGCCTCTTCTGGGAAATCTCAGTGACCCCACAAAGTCCTCTGACCTGATCCCGGGAGGAGCAGGGCTGTGCGCCCCCCTGCCTCCCCGCTCGGGCCCTCCCCGACCTTTGCTCCACGCCGACCCCAGCCCCGGGAGCCACTGCTCCTCAGCCCCGAGGGCAGCCCCGCTGGTCCGTGTGGGCGTCCCATTCTTCCAGCGACGGCACACGGCTGTTTCCTCTGCTGTCCTTCTGTGCCCACCCCTCGCCCCCGCCAGCCGGGGCCCCCGTTCCTGCCCCCCAGGCTGTCAGTGCTGGGCAGGGACTCTCAGGATGAGCTTCTCAGGCAGGCGCGGGGCCGGCACCTCTGTTCTGGAGGTGGGAGGGCGTCCTTCCAGGCACGGCAGCTGCGGGCCAAGTGGCCCCCGGGTTGGCCTGGGTCTGGCACAGGGGGGCCGGCAGTCACCGCAGTCCCGGGGCCTCGGCCTGGGTCCTGGGCAGCCAGGAATCCAAGGCCAGAGAGGTTTGCCTGTGGAATGGGAGGGGGTGGGAATGTTTCTGAAAGTGAAAGTATGGGGTCGATTGGAGGGTGGGGCCGGGGGTGGGGCCGGGGGCCCAGGCAGGCACTGGTCGCAGCTGGAAAGTCCCAGCTGTTGGTCAGTCGCTCTGGCTGCTCCGGAGGCCTCCCTGCCCGGGCCGGCTCGGAAGGCCCCACTCGGTGGCCTCTCCTGGTGGCCCTGTTCCACCAGGGCCCAGGGTCTGCCTCCTCAGCAGGTATGTTCCATGCAGGTGGAGCAGGAAGTCCAGGGGGTGCCATGCCAGTGGACAGGGACTCGAGGGACTGCAGATGATTCCAGCTCCGCTTGTGATCTTCTGGGCCACAGGCCTCGGCTCAGAGTCCAGGCCAGAGTGCCAGCTAATCCCGGTGGACCCATGCGCGCCGAAAGCAGAGAGACAGACGGGTGTGAAGACACGCATACAGGCCCGGACAGCCACAAGGACTCATGGGGAGAAACATTTGAAGGCCTTCTGAGGCACACGCGCTCTAGACCAGGCACACACCAGGAGACGCACTTAGGCCAACACACAAAAGCAGGGATATACCCACAGGCGTACAGTCCTGCTACTTTGGATTGCTTATCTGTTTTCCTTGGGCACCTGCTACGTACTAGCTCTGACTGGGGCTGGGGCTGGGGCTCAGGCTGAGGCAGGCCCGCTCCCTGCCCGGGGTGAGGGGGTCTTGGTCAAAGGGCAGATGCCCCAGGGCCCGTAGCTGTTCCCCAGGCACGGGAGAAGGTATGCCCAGGTCCAGGCCAGACCCAGAGCAGGAGGTGCGGACTGTACTCTGGGGTTCAGCCGACCAAGGAAGGCTTCTCGGAGGAAAAGCCACTTGTGCTGCGCCTTGAAGGAGCAGGCAGCTGGAGGAGCGGGGGGTGGGGGGGGCGGGGGGGGGCGGGGGGGCGGGGTGAGGTCGCTGTTGGCAGAGGGAACAGCCTGTGCAAAGGCAGGAGGAGCGGTGGGCGCTACCGAATGGTAAGAAGGGCTGAGGGAGTAGGAGGGGAAACAAGAGGGGCCTTGCGCGCCCAGCTGAGGAGTCTGCCGTGCAGCGGGCGGCAGCAGCCCCGGCTGTTTTATGTTTTATTGCTGGAGAGGCGGAGCTTTTTATTTTAGCCTTCAGCCAAGGAGATGTTTATTGATTTTTTTAAAATTTTTATCTATTTATTTTTAGAGAGGGGAAGGGGGGGAGAAAGAGGAGAGAAACATCAAGATGTGGCTGCCTCTCATGCGCCCCCAACTGGGGGCCTGGCCCGCAGCCCAGGCACATGCCCTGACCGGGAATTGAACTGGCGACCTGTTCATTTCGCAGGCCGGTGCCCAGTCCACGGAGCCACACCAGCCAGGGCAGGAAAGCTGTTTTCTAAGCAGGTGATCGCCTCACCTATGAATGACAGTTTTATCAGGCTCCTCCTGATCTTTATACCTCTTATTTATTTTCCTTGCCTTATCGCATTAACAGACAAATGTAGAATAGCATGGTGGGAACACACCTGCCTTCTTTCTCATTTTGAGGAACGGTTTCAGGGGAGGTTCATACTTTGGCAGCACCCGCCGCTCCCCCACCCCCCACCCCGCATGCTCTGAGGAGAGCTGGGCTGGCCCAGTTGGGGGACTGCGGCTGGAGGCTGGTCCTGGCTTTCCCGGGCCTTGAAGCTCAGCCAGGGCTGAGCCCCAGATGCAGAAGCCAGGGCCTCCGGACACTCAGGATGACGGAGGCAGAGAGCCTGAGAGAGACCCCTCGGTGCGGGGAGGCAAGTACGGGGCAGGGCGAAGGCAGAGTCAGCAGAGAGACCAGCCCGCAGACCCCGGTCGGGCCAGGCCGGCCGGCAGGGGCACCCCTGCAACAGACGGCTCAGTCCTCCTGCAGGCTGGCTCCGGGCTGACGGGCGGCGGCGGAGGGTCAGAGGCTCCCAGGCCAGTAAGGAAGGCCCCACCACCTCAGGGACCGTCCCAAGTGCCTGGAGCAGACTGGGATGCGGCACAGCCCCAGCACTCTGTGGACGGAGGTGTGGGCACCGGCACTCCTGGGTCCCGAAATCCAGGTCACATTTGGAGAGCAAAGACAGGCAGGCCAAGAGAGGGAGCAGCCTGCGCGGCAGCCGGGCCGCTGGACGTGCTGCGGGACTTGGGGGGCGCCCAGGAGGCTGGAGGGGTGCAGAGGAGGGAGGCCTCGCGGGGAGGCTGGAGACAGTTCGGTCCTGGACGGTGCGCTTGGGCGAGGCCCGAGGGCTGTGCGAGTCACAGGAGAGGGGCCCGGCGGGCTTGCACTCTGGGAGGGTCAGGAGTGGCTCGGGCAGCTGTGGAAGCAGGGTCACCGGAGGCTGAGGGGTCCATTGGGGCTCCAGGCGACCTGCACCGGGGCTCTGGTTTGGGACGACAGTGGCCGAGCAGGCTGGGCGGGCCCCGAGCGACCCCCCACGACACCCACCCAACAGCCGGCCCTCTCTCCCCCAGAATCTGCCTCTAGGCTCCCAGGCAGACCCGCAAGCCTGGCCCCACGCCTGGCACCTGGGGGCCGCCCCCACCTTGGGCCCCTCTGCCTGGAGGAAGGGTACCCTGGACAGCAACCCCCACGCGCTGGTTCTGGGGCGCAGGGAGTCCGGCCTCCACTCCCAGGTTTCCAGGAGGACCTGAGCTGGTCGAGCCTCCCCTCTCCTGAGCTGTGCGGCTGAAGGTAAGTCCCCGCTTCTCTCTGAGCCTGTGTCCTCAACTATGAACTGGTGTGAGTGGCGCCCTGCAACTCTGTTGCCATAGGGATGCGACGCACGCCGGGCATCAGCCGTTACTAAGTGGGGGCTCTTCCCGACTACAACAGGAGCTGTCCTGTCCTTTGCCCACCTGCCCCCGGTGACAGCCTGGAGCCCAGGCGGGTAGAGCACAGCTTCCCGGCGCGCTTCTCCTCAACACCCTGCCGGGGCTCAGGGGCACCAGGGAGCGGGGAGCGCAGGGGACTCCCGGCTCCTGTCGCAACGCTCCTCGCTTTGTGTGGGTCCATCTGAGTCAGGGCAGGGTCCCGAGCCCCAGCGGTGCCAGGGGAGGAGGATGACCTGTGGCTGGGGTGGGGCTGATAAGGCCCCCATCGATCACCTGGGCCTGCCCCTCCCTCAGCGAGGCCTCCTTCCAGCTGCCCGGCGGCCGCAGGGACAGGAAGGTAGGCCCCTGTTGCCCCCTTGCAGATCTGGCCCCTGGACAGACACTTCAGTGGAGAGGGTGGCTGGGGGAGGGTCTGGCCCTGCCCACCCCTGGCAAACCAAAGCCTGGGCCTCCTGGCCCCTGGCCCCGGTGAGGGGGTCCTGGGAACGAGCTGGGCTCAGCCTCTCGGTCAGTGGCTTCAGCAGGGCCTGCCCTTCCTCTGGCCCTCGTTCCTCCGAGGCCGAAGTGAAACCTTGCACCCGCCCTCACTGGGACCTCCTGCCCAGCAGGCAGAGGAGGCTCTTTCCTCTTTCCCACCCTGAGCTTAACCTGAAGTTAGAAAGTCAAGCACAGCCCTGCTGGGCTGAGAGGGAAGGTGGGCAGGGTGTGGGGGGCGGGGGGCCAGGGCCAGCCTCCTATCTGCACCCCCCACCCTAGGGACCCTCATCACCCCCGATGGGACAGGGGCTAGAGCACATTGTAGGGGGAAATGGGGAGATGTTATGGGGGAGGAGCCACAAAGGGCACCCTGCCCTGGTTAAATATAGACCAGGGTTCCTCCCACCATGCCCCGCCTTGGACTGCAAGCCCCAGATAAGCCGGCCTCTGCCCGATGCCCTCCAGCCTGACCCCGCCTCACCTCTGGTTCTAAGATGCCCTGGGACCGGGCAGCCTCCCAGGGGAATCTCTGAGCACCCCTTGGAGCAGAAGCAGTTGGGCCTGATAGACTGAATGGGGGTGAGCTGAGGGCTCTTGGGGGGTGCGAGGGAACGTTCTGGGAGGTGGTGGGCATTTCAGGCCTGAGGCCCTAAGGTCCAGGAAGTCCTGGATGTGGCTGCTGGGCCTGGCTCAGGAAGCCGCAGGCTGTGGGCCGGGCTGGGCCCCAGAAACTGCGTGCCTGACTCCCCTCTCTCCCTCTGATGGGGAGCCTGGCCTGGCAGAGCCCCTGGAGGGGGGCCCCTGGGGGCAGCCTTCGGCAGGTGCGTCTGGGAGGCTCCCTGGAGGAGGTGGCCGCCTCCGCCTCCGCGCTGGCTGCGGCCTGGCTCACAGACAGCCTGCCCATGACAGCCGCTGGAGATGCTCTGTTTGGACAGCCTGAGGCTCCCCTCCTGGGGGGGCCCCCCTGACCCGGCCACTGGGCGCACCCTGGCCCGCAGGGCCCTCACAGGCGTCTGTCCTGCTCCCCAGGGCTGGGCGCCACCCGGGCCTCCTCTTTACCCCCCGCTCTCCCGCTGCTAAGATGCCAACCCCTCGGACGGCGGCCCCCGGGCTGGAGCTGCCCAGCCCCAAGGCACCTGTGGAGACGCAGACCCCAGTGAAAGGCCCGCGGCGGGCGAGCAGCGGGGAGGCGTCCAGCATGCACCACGAGGACGCAAGGCTGGGCCTGGGCACCTTCCGGAGGGCCCTCTCCCGGGTGGGCCAGCGGGCCTCGGGCCAGGCCCCCGAGGAGGACCCAGGCCTGCTGCGGCGCAGCTCCCGCTTCCTGTTCCGGTCCTTACGGCGCCCTGCGGACGGCAGCCCAGCTGCTGGCCAGTGCCAGGCCCCCGCTGTGCCAGCCGCAGGCCGCAGCCCGGAGGTGCTCCCTGGGGTTCCTGACGGTATCAGCCCCCCACTGTCCCCCAGGACGGGACCCGAGGAGCAGGAACCCAAGGCAGGTGAGGGCTCTACAAGCAACACTGAGCAAGGTGGGAACTGAGGTCAGAGGGTGGAACAGCACAGCCCAGCCCCTCAGGGTCTCCTGCCAGCTCCCCAGACCGCCCTCCGCCCCGCACAGCTGCATTTTAATTCCTCCAGCATCTCACCGAGAGGCACACCCATCGGGCACTTGAGAAAAATGAGGCTGAGAGATTAAGGGACTCGCCTCAGGTCTCACAGCTGGGACGGGGGGACAGTGTTCGAACCCAGGTTTGCGCAGCTCCAGAGCTCTGGCCGCTGCACAGCCTTCCTGGGCCCTGGCCGAACTGGCGTGATGGACCAGGCCCTGGCCCCCTTGGGTCCTTGGGTCCCAGGGTCCCAGGCTGAGCACGGGGACCATCGTTGCCTGGGGGAGGTCAGGGGGCTGCCCAGGAGAGGACACACAGCATTTGGGCCCCAAAGGGGGGTGTGAAGAGGGAGGTAGAGGGCTCCTAGGCATGGGCGGGGAGGCGGGGGCCCAGAGCAGGGAACAGCACACAGCGCTCAGGCTGGGCACTGGGGCTGGAGCCTGGGCATTGCCTGACCCGCCCGGCCCGAGCGCGGACCTACAGACCTGTAGTGAGGGTTGCCTTTGAGGCCGCCAGGTCCAGCTCAGCAGAGCTGGGGTTGGGGTGGGAGGGGGGGTGGAGGCAGGGGCTGATACATGTTGCGGTTCCCAGCCAGGCTTGGGCCTGCGATCCTGTCTCTTCAGAGGTGACTCCCAGGGACAGTCCCCAGCAGCTGGGGAGGTTGCTCCTGGAGCAGACCCTCAGCTAGCTCTGGGGCCAGTCCGCCCAGCTCTGGACGGGTCAGACAGGGCCCCACAGGCCTCCTGGGGCAGGCCCCTCACTGCCCTTCTCCTTGCCGTCCTCGGAAAAAGGCAAATCTGTGGCGGATCTCATCACCGAGCGGGAGCTGCTGGCGGCCTTCAAACAGCTGCAGCACCTGGAGATGCAACTGGTGGCCGAGAAAGCCTCACACACCTTCGAGCAGGACCCCACGGGCTTCGCGCGGCGCGCCATGGACGTGTGCCTGCACTACGACGGGCTGGGTGCGGAGATCGGCGCCATCGTGCGGGAGACGCTGGGCCCCAACGGCGTGGACCCCGCCGCGCTGGCCGAGCTGGCCCACGTGGTGAGCGCCGAGGAGGAGGCCCACCCCGGCTCCCCCGCCGACGGCGACTTCCTGCGCACGCCGCGCCGCTGGCGCCAGCAATGGGAGGACGCGGTGCTGCGGAGCGCGCGGGAGCGCGTGCGGCAAGTGGGTGCCCGGGAGGCCTCCGAGGTAGCCGAGGGTGCGTCGGACCTGGCCCGACTTCTGGCCGAGCTTGGCAGCTCGGTGCGCCGTGACCTGCAGAAGGTGCAGCTGGAGGTGCAGCCTGCTTATGCGGCCGCCGGCTTCCCGGCCTGGGAGACTTACCGGCGCGCCTACCACGGCGCTGTGGCCCAGCGCCTCCAGGAGCTCGCGCACGACGCCCGCGGCTGCGAGCAGCTCTACACGCTGCTGGACTGGGCCGCCAACGTCTACGGCAGGTGAGGCCTCAGCCGGGGGCCACGGAGGGCAGGGAGGGGCTGGTGGCGCTGTCCCGCCCGGGCCTTTGGGAGCCAGCTCTGAGCAGCGCAGGGCAGCTCTCTGTTCCTTTTCCTCCCCAGGAGAGGGCTGCTGCCGGGGTGTGGGAATCCCCGGGGGCCTTTGACATTCACGGGGCTACCTGAGTGCTGACTCCGGACACCGGAGAGTGTCAGAGGGGAGGTTCCTCCCCAGCCAGGGAACCCAGTTAGAGGGCTGATGCCGGTGCGCGTGGTACCTTTACATGAGGTAGAAAAGGGCATCCCTCCAGGCGGGACATGACCGCGGGCTCAGAGGGGCTGGGATTTTGCCCCCACTCTCCGCTTCGGGTGGCCCCCGAGGAGCAGAGCACAGGCCGCCGGCCTCTGGGTCTGCGCAGTGTGATGGGGTGGATCACCTCCCCGCGCGGAGTGCACCCCAGCCCCACAGGCAGGAGAGCGAGGGAGGAGGGTGGTGAAGGCCTGGGCGCGGGACTTGCTGTGTGTCCTCAGGCAGGGACTTGCCCTCTCTGGGCTTTCCTGGCCTGGGCTGGACTGGGGCAGGCTCCTGAGCAGCGTGGCACTGGGGATGCTTAGAGCTGAGTATTAGGTGTACCCCGACCCTGAGGGTAGAGATCACTTCCGAGGCAGCCTGGCCAAGGTCCATCTGGATAGCTGTTCTTTGATTTTATTTATTTATTTTTAGACAGAGGGAAACAGAGGGAGGAGGGAAACATCCACATGTGGCCGCCTCGCGGGCGCCTCCTAGTGGGGACCTGATCCACAGCCCAGACCTGTGCCCTGACTGCGAATCGGACTGGCAACCCTTTGGTTCACAGGCCGGCGCCCAATCCACTGGGCCGCCTCAGGCAGGGCTGGGTAGCTGTTCTTATACGTTCTAATGGTTAGTGCCAGGAAATCCAGCCGTGAGAAGCGTGGGGAGTGAAGTGGGGTTGGCACAGAATCCTGTAGGGTGGGATGCAGGGCGGAGTGTGTGACTGGAGACCCCAGGGACCCTGCGGTGCCGGCGGTGATGGTGTTAGGCTTTGAGCCCGGCCAGGGGAGCGTGGGGGACAGATGCTGCCTCCTCAGCCCCCGCCCTACCTTCCAGTCCTAATTTCCTGGGCGCCCCGGACTTGACTCTGTCCACGGAGCCGCTGCCCCCACTCCTGTCACCGGAGGTGTGGGCCCAGCTGGAGAGCGACTACACCACCTTCCTTGAGGTTAGGCCCGGGCGCGGCGAGGCAAGAGGGGCGGGGCCAGGCCAGAGGCGCAGGGCCTGGCCGGCATCCCCACAGGCCCCCAGGAGGGAGGCCCCGGGCCCAGCACCGCGGGAGAGCGCTAGCGGCGGCTTGTGCCCTGGCTGGGCGGCCCTTGTCTCCGAGGGCGGGCGCGGTGGGGCTCGGGAAGCAGGGGTCGGCCGGATCTCCTTCCTGGGAGGGCCTCACCGCGCCCTCTTCGGCCCGGCACAGACCAAGATCTCGAGCTGCTTCGACGGCATCCTGCAGTTGGAGCAGAGCCGCTGGGCTGCCGCCGAGGCCCCCGAAGTGCTGCAGGGCCGGTACCACACGCCGCTGTCCATCGACATCCACATGGTGCGGCCGGGGGCGGGGCTGAGGAGGGAGGGCAGGTGTGGCCTCAGGCAGTGCTTGGTCTCCCTCGAATTGGGGCACCGGAAGCTATTAATTGCAGTCCTAACCTCCGCTCCGCCTTAGACAGGGGCTTGAAGCCCCCCGCGGAGCGGGATGAGGGCCCCGGGTGGTTCGGCCAGGCAGGGAACGCCAGGGCGCAGCTCCCAGCTTGGCAGTGGCGATAGGTCTGCGGAGTTGGGAAGACTGAGCCCCAGCCGAGGCCGCCAGGAGCTGGATCCGAGGCCGGGAGTCCGAGCAGGGCGGGCCGGAGACGTCGCTGGGCCACCAGGTCGGGGGACTGAGCCTTGGGGACCAGGGTGCCGACGCGGGCTCAGCGCATGGCATCGCTCGCAGCTGGTGGCAGAGCACGTGAAGGCGGCAGGGGCCATCTCCGCGGAGCTGGAGGCCACCACCTTGCGGATCTGCGCGCGGGCGCTCGGCCTCTTCGTGCGCAGGTGCGGACGCCCCTCGGCCGTGGCTGGGGCCCGAGGGGTGGCGGGTCCCCAGGGGAGGGAAGACCTGGAGTTATGGCGTGGCTGGGAAGCTTCCTCAGGGACTCTGCGTATTCCGCCCCCAGGTTTGAAAAGGCTTTTCTGGAGTCGGAGGCTGTGACCGAGCCGCACTTGGGCGCCAACATCAACGCCTGCGAGGAGCTCAGGTGAGCGTCTCCGGCTCCCCCGCGGGGCGATGCCCAGCGCGGTCCGCAGGGGGCGCGCGAGCTCCGGAAACCGTGGCCGCTGGCGCGCGCACCGGCGGGGTCAATTGGGGGCGGGAGTGGGGCGGGGGTGGGGCGGGGGTGGGGATTACCAGGAGGCCTCCAGGAATGCCCCTCGCCCTCCACCGTCCCCGCTGTCGGGTCCTCCCTCTGCCCCATGCAGCCGAGTCCCGGCGAGGGATGCGGGGAGTTTCAAGGCTGCGCAGAGGCCAGAAAGTCCCAGCCGCAGCGGTCGGCCTGCTCAGTCCGTCCCCGCCAACGGGGGCTCTGTTTCTTTCCTCCGCTCAACCCAGCCTGCGTTCTTTCTTCGTGGGACACTCCCTTTCCCCGGTGCGGGGCCAGGCTGGGGCTGGGGCCTGGGCCCTTCTGTGCCTTCAAACCCAGGCCAGGCCTCAGTGTCCCTGTTGTGGATGCACCAACCGCTGCAGGACAGCCAGCAACCGTGGGCGCAGACTCTGAGCCCTCCCGGGGTTCAGGCCCCAGTCCAGCACTCGCTGGCTGTGGGCCTGGAAATGAGTCTGTTCCCCTTTCCGCGCCTCGTTTCCTCATCTGTCAGTGGCGATCAGAGCACCTGCCCCCTCGGGCTCCGGGGGCCCAGCTCACGGTCGCTCCTCAGGAGCGTTTGCGACGCGCCAGGCGCTGCGCTAGTGCTCTGTCCACCCGCCACACTCCGTCCCGCGTGCGGTGTGCCCAGCGCAGAGGCAAAGCGGCAGCTCAGACGAGAAACGCCGCTGGCCCGCAGTCGCGCTGCCGCTACGTGGTGGACCCGAAGCCTGAACCAGGCCTGTCTGAACCCAAAGCAAGAACGTACTGAGGACTCTCTCTTGTCCCTAATCTGTGCCTGTCCGAGGAGCCCTCGGGGACATGCCCCGCCCCTTGGTAGGCAGGCAGGCGGCCTCTGACCCACCCCTGACCGCACGCTGGCCTCCCTTCTGAGCGCCTGTGCTGACGACTGGGCATAGCCTAGTCCTCAATTTCCTCAACAGTGTAATGGGGACATCGCCGCCTTCAGGGAGGCAGTCACAAGGCTCAAAGAAGGGCCCCCTGTGCCAGGTGCCGGGGGGATGGAGGTTTGGCCCAGGTGCCCAAGGGGAGCTCTGCCGGGCAGCGGGGCCACCACCAGCATCCACGATCGGCTCCCGCAGCTTTGGTGCTGTCCCCTCACTTGGCTCTGCTCCCAGGGCTACTACATGCACCGTTTGGCCCCCGGACCTCCCCGTTGCCGTCTCAGTGAATGCAGCTGGCGTGGCGTCCGGCCTGAGTGCCTGCCTGCCACGCCGTGTCTGCAGCCTGCTCCCCCTTGCCCACTTTGTCCCTGCCCTGGCCCCTCCCCAGGACCAGTCTCCTGGCCAGGTACCCAGGAGCCTTTGTGGAACTGGAGAAGCCCCTGGAGGCGGCCATCCGCATCTTCCAGAAGCGGCTGCTCCAGGGTTTGCAGCGGGATGTGCAGGTGAGGGGCATGCGCCCTTCTCCCCCTACCTCCCATGCCCGCAGTCTGGGGCCCCAAGCGCAGCGTGCGTCTGCTCCCGGGGCAGTTCCAGGGGTGGCCTGCCGGGGGAGGGCGGGGAACCCAGACGCGCTCCCAGCTGTGCAGGCCTGGTCAAGCCTCTGCTTCTTGGGGGTGGTAGGTCCGAGGAGCCAGGCACTGCACCCAGGAGGCCTGGCTAGAGGCTCAAACTAAAACCCTGGCCCCGGGCCCTCGGGGTCCCTGTGAAGGGCCTAGTGACGCAGTCTGTGGTAGGAGAGATGCCACCAGGTTACTGTGTAGAGAAGGAGGTCAGACAGACCGCCAGAGCTTCCTGTCGACGGGTTGTCCCTAGGCCTGAAACGCCCCATCAGGAGCCTTGCCCGGGGCACTCAAGGGGGGCCTGGGGGGGCAGGGCATGGCTGGAAGGCTCCCTCCCATCATCCTCGCCCACAGCCGTGCTTCAGGGTCCTGTGCACCAAGGCCTGGCTGACGCAGGACGTGCTGCAGCCCCTCATGGACAAGGTGGTGGCCTTTGCCCGCCACCTGGAGCATGTGATCCCACTCTGCGCTCAGGTGTCTGGAAGGGAGGGGGCCCTGATGGGTTGGTGCCCAAGCCAGGTCGTTGACCTGGCTCTGACTCGCACACCCCGGTGTCCAGGAGACCCTGCAGGAGGCTCACCGGTACGTGGTCCGCGAGTACATGGCGCAGGCGCTGAGGCCCCGCGAGCGGTTCCGCGGCATCGAGCGCAGGATCAGCTCCCAGAAGATGGGCCTGGATGCCCAGGCCATTGGCAACACCTTTCAGGGCTTGGTAGGTGCGCCATCTGGTCTGACTGCCCGCGAGCGCTCTCGCTCAGCTGCCTAGGGAGCCTGGGCTTTAGCTGAAGCATCCTCCCCACGGTCCGCAAGCCCAGGAGAGGCGGGGCCTGGGCGGTGTTTTGCATATATTTGCATTCGTTTGCATACACGCTGTGGGGTTAGCGGGATTGAGCGAGGGTCCACTAGTCTGATGGGCGGGGCTGTGGGGGCCTTCCCTCCACCTGCACCTCCGGCCTTTGCAGCCGCGGAGCCTCCTCCCTACACACACACACCCTCCTCCGGCTGCTGGTCCCTGCTCGCTACTGCCCCCAAGCAGGACTCCCCAGCCCAAGCCTCAGTTTACCCATCTGAGCAGAGGCAGGGAGACCCTGAGCTGCGCCATGAGGAGGGGCGGTGCCAGCTGTGCCGCGGCGAGTTTACCGCGTGCTGGCAGCCCCGTGTCCCTCCGCGGGGCCGCCGTGGGGGCTGCAGGAGGGCCGCGGGGCTCCTAGGGGCGGGGAGGTGGGCGGCCCGCCCCGCAGGCGTGGTGTCTCACTGCCTCCGCAGGGTTCGGAGGCCACGTGGCTGGACCAAGCGATCCCCTGCGTGGCAGACATACTGGGCGAGACTTGCAAAGACGACATCCAGCGGCACCTGGAGGCGCTCATCCGGAGCTACCCCGACATCAGGTCTGTAGCCGCACCTGCTACCCGGGCCTCCAAGGGGCGCTGCGGGAGCCCTGGGGGCAGGGACTCCTGCCTTGCCAAGGGCCCTAGGGGTTGTAGGTGGACAGGTAAGGAGCCCGAGGCCCTGGGAAAGGGGGTTCCCCTCCCTCGTAACCTATTCTCTGTGGCTTTAGTTCAGTTCCACGGTGGAATGGGGGACCCCTGGAATGCGAGAGGGGTCTGGCCCTCCTCGGGTGTCTGATGGTGGAGACATGGCCCCGCTGGGGAGTTTGGGGGGAGGTGCAACTTCCACCTCCCAGACAAAAGCCTCTTGGAAGCCCCAGCCGGGAGGAAAGAGGCTTTGTTCCCAGGGTGTATGCTGGAGGGTAGGGAGGGCCGGTGAGTCATGCAGCCTCTGGAAATCCCAACCAGAAACTCTCCGTGACCTTGGAGATCCCAGCATGGGGGAGGGCGCATAAAGCCCCATCCCAGCCCCCAGCCAGTGCTGCCCCTCTGACTCCGAGTGACGGCACCCCTTCTCAGTGCCTGGAGCTCTCCGCCTGGCCCCCGGGGTCTGCTGCCGGCTCCCTCAGGCTCCTGGGTGGCGCCTCAGGCCTGACGGGTGCTCCCGCTGTGAAGGGTGATTAACAGCACCTCTGGGCACCACCCCCCCACGCTGCCTTTCTCCGTGTGGCCGGGCCAGAGCTCCCCGCAGCACAGGGCTCTCGGCCCACGATGCCCCACAGCTGGGCCAGCCTGTGCGGGACCCCCGCTCCTCCCTCGCTCCCCGCACTTCCTGGACCTCGGCAGAGGCTGCTTCCCCAGTGGGGCAGCCCCTCCTCCCCAACCCACGGGGGCCCTTCAGGGCCCAGCCAGCCCCACCAGGAGCACCGCCCTCCTGGCCCCTCTCATGTGTGTACCAGGCTCGGGGACACGGGGACACGCATGCATCCAGCCCTAGGCCGGGGTTCCCCTCACCCGGGGTGCGGGGCGTCTCGGGAGGTGCTGGCTCAGCACTCAGGGCCCTGTGTCTCTGTAGGCGTGACCACGTGCTGGCCATTCTGGCCCTGCGCCGCCTGGGCCGCCATCGCAACCAGCACCTCCTGCAGCACGCCCAGGACCTCCTGAGGACCGCCGCTCAGGCGGGGCGCGCGGGGGGCTCCGGGGGCCGCGTGCTCTTCGAGGAGATCGAGGCGCCCACCTCCATGGATGTGCTCCTCGCCTGTATCTAGGGCTCCGGGACTGAGGGGGCTGGTCTTGGGAGGGGGCTGCAGTGGGCGGAGGGTCAGCCGCCGTCCCCCAGGCCCTGAGCCCCAAGCTACGAGTCCAGGGAGTGCTGTCCGTCCGCCCTGCCCCCAGCCTGAGTCCAGAGTCATGGAATTTTCCTCCTCGGCTGAGGTAGCTGCGGGGCCAGAAGGAAGAGCAATGACAGAGGCATTTCAGGCATCTGTGGGGGAGCGTGGCGGGCTGGGCAGAGGCTCCTGTCTGTGCTGCGCACCTGGGAAGGCCGCCGGCCCCGCTCTCCGGTCGGAAAGCAAAGAACGGAGTATTTAAAAATAAACATGAATGAAAATGGTACCCCCCCCACCCCGCAAAGGATCAGGGCCAAGCTGGCTGGGAACGGGAGGCCTCACCCTAACCCCACGTACAAAGGGCCAGTCTGGAAGGTTCTGTGGTGGCCCCATTTCGTGGGTAGCCCTTTCCCGCCCATGGTACCAGCGGGGAGACTGAGGCAGGCCCTGGGCTGAGAAGCCCACATCTGGGGCTACAGAGCAAGCAGGCCTCAACCCTGGAGCTCTGAGTCCGCTGGCCTTGTGTCCAGCACACCTCATCCGGCATGATGGGCCCTGCTCTGTCCTGCCCCAGGCAGGCCTGGGCTCTGAAAGGCAAGGAAAGGGCACGGTTTGCTCTGCAGCGTAAGGTACTAAGGTTAGACGTGAGAGGGACTTCCCAGCTGTGGGGCGACTGCTGCGCTCGGGAAACCCATGGCATTGGGGGCAGTGGGGGGCTGACCCCACAGGCCTCAGCCTGGAGGTGGGGCAGCAAGGAGTTCTCACCAGTGTGTACCGGCCCACCCCCCCAAAATAAAAGCTAGCCCTGAAACTCGGCTCCAGCCTTTAGGCGAGGCTGCTAGGAAACCCGTCTGCATTGGCCGTCTTGGGCTTGGCAGGGAGCTGAGTGCTGAGGAGAGGGAGTTCACGGAGACACCAAGAGAGACAGCAGCAGGTGCATCCCCGACGGCCCTCGACAGAGGCCCCCTATCTTCCCGGGCCTGGCCCTGACCACGTGCAGCCGGGGAGCAGGCAGCTGCAGGGGAGCCAAGGTTCAAAGGCCCAGCGAAGACGAGTCTCCCCGCACAGTGCGAGGACCCTAAGGCCACAGGGCCGGGCCCGCTGCCCACACCGTCCGCGGGCCGAGCCCAGGAGGTCGGCCCTATTCCCTCCATCAGGGCCGAGTCCTGCCGTGGCCCCGGGCGTGGGGGTGGCAACATGTATGGGGCTGCCCCTCCGGGGGTGCACGGGGGCCAGAGGCTGGTGGTGTAGGAAGAGAAGTGGTGCCCAGGCCTCTCCGAGGCGGGGACCTGGCGGGGTGGGTGCGGCCGGAATGAGGAAGAGGAGAGGCTGGGGTTCCCAGGCTCCGGGGTTGCGGTGGAGACAGGGTGTGTGAGGGCTGCCGCTGCCAAGCAGACCTGTGTCAGTGGGGAAACAGGCCGGCGGCGCGGGGAGGTGGGCCCGCTTCACACCAGCCCCCGCCCCCGACACACACAAGCAGGTGGCCCGGGACCTTCGGCCGGGGAGCTGTCAGCGGGGCCCCTGTTCCACTAGGGAAGGGCTGGTGATTGTCCGGTCTCCGTGCTGCCTGCTACCGCCCGGGCCCCGTGACCGCCCCGCAGCACTGGGGGGAACGCCCAGCAGGTGCGGGCGCGCGGGGTGCATAAGGTCCCAGTCCCAAAGCCGTGCTGTGAGTGGCAGTCAGTGCCACTTTCATGCCTGTGCAGCCTCTTCCTTCCTCACCCACCTGTGACCCAGGCCCCTCCCTTCCTGGCCCTGGACCTCATGGGGCCTCTGCACTCAGGGACAGTCCCCGGCCCCCAGCAGGACTTGGTCCTCAAAGGGCCCCTCACCACTGACCAAGAGGGCAGAGGAGGCTGCTTGGTTCCCAGGGCTGTTTGCCGTCCCCAATCTCACTTCCTTCCTTTGCGACTGCAAAGTCCCTGTGGGGACCCCAGCAGACCAGAGGGCCCCCGCCAGGGTCAGCGTCCGTCCAGTACCCATGCTTAGGCCATGGGGCGGGACAGGGACCCGGCCTGCCCTGGCCCGCTGCTCCCCCAGCCAGTCTGCGCAGAGCGCGGGGCGGTGGGCCTGTGCTGGGCACCGAGGCCCGCAGGGGCGGGGCTCCAAGTCTTGGGTGTCCCCCAAGAGGCATGGCCAGCCGCTTCCTGGCCTCATGGGGGGCTGTGCTGGGGGTCGGCAGCCCCATGGGCGAGGGCCACCAAGGTTCCCCCCCGGGCTCGGGGCCCGGAGGCACCGCCACGAAGGCCCTCCCCGCTTCCCGGGCCGTCTGCCCCCCTCCCCAACACGCCCGAAGCAGGTCGGGACATGTTTGATGTTCTCCTGCCTAACTCTGGTGATGCTTTGGAGAGTGATTCGTGCACTTAGCTCAACATTAAAAAGGCACAAAGAAGACATAAGGCAAAAAGTCTCCTTATTCTCGTCTCCCCCATGTCCCTCCCTGGAGCGAGGAGGGCTCCTCCCACCCAGGCCCACCAGGCCTGTCCAACACAGGGCTCGCCCAGGGGACCCCGGAATGGTGGAGCCCAGGCGTGGGCGAGGGGCCTGCTTTTGCTGGGGCGGTTGGGTGGGCGTGGGCCAGGCCTTCTTGAACCCGGTAGGAACTCAGCCCTCCAAACGGGATCCTAGGATCTCAGGAAAGGGGGACGTCATGAACCGCCCTGCCGTCTGGGGCGCCAGCTCCGCCCCTTCCGAGCTGTGGGACTTTGGGCAAGTTACTCCGCCTCTCTGGGCTCCCTCTCCTGTCGTAAAATGGGGATCACTGCTGAGAAAATGCAGATGTGTTCGTTGAGTGCCTGGCTCACGGCGTGCACCCCAAGAGTGTTAGGTGCCGCTGTTGACTCATCTGGGCCCTGGCCCCTTTAAGCCTTCCCCAGCTTCCCCGGAGGAGTGCGTGCGAGCTCCTTTTCCAGGAGGGAGTGGCTGAGGCCCTGGGGGTGGAGCCACGTGTCTAAAAACACAGATGTGAAGGATGCGGCTCCCAGGGGCCAGGCGGTCCTCATGCCCAAGCCCCCGCCATTATGCCTTTCTTCTCCAAAGTCCGGACGGCCAGAGCACGCACGGTGGGTGAGGCGTGCCCGGCGCTCAGGCCCCAGGAGGGGTCAAGCCTTTGGCGGTTTGGGCGGCTGCCCTGCGTCCCCGCCCCGGCTGGCCCACTCGGCACTGCAATTCCCTCGAGAGTTCCCCCCCCCCCCTTACACACACACTGGGTGGAACCCACGGCTCTTTTCCTGGAAACCACACTGGATGCAAGAAGGGTCCGAAGGCAGCCCCGGGTCTGAAGGGGCGGGAATTGAACTTGGCCATTTTGCGTTACCATCAAAAGCCGTTGTGAAAGGCTGGGCCCTGTTAGGAGAGAGGTCAGGCCACTGGGACTGGCACGGAAAGTCCCTGGTGACCTGGAAGGGCGGTTCCTCCAGGAAGCCCTCCTGCACGGCACTCCTTGGAAGGCCACCAGCATTGGAGTCCTGTTGCCCCATGGACCCTGCAGAAATCGTCCCCCTGTCTGCCACACGCAAAAGGAAGTGGGGGCCCGGCCTCCTCCTTGGAGCACGGCAGCGGCTGTGAACAAGCAAACAGCTGCCCGCGGGGGCTGGTGCCCTCGTGGGGCGGGCGCCCGGGGAGGCTGCTTCCTGGTCAGCTGTCCTGGCCGTCCCATGGTCCCCGGGCAGGTCAGCTGACTCCAGCCCAGGTCTGGTGCAGCTGCCAGGACCCTGAACAAGTGGCTTCTCTCAGGCAAGGCCCAGTGGCAGCAGGGACCCTGGCCTCAAGGCCTCAACCTAAGAGTTTGCTTGCCCTTCTGAGAATTGGTTTTCTCATCTGTCAACAGGAAATACAATGACTCTGCTCCATGCAACTCGCAAGTGGGGCAACTCCAGGGGACAAGGGGAGCCAGGGAGGCTTCCCCCGGTCAGGTGGTGGCCTGAGGGCTCCATGAGAAGCGGGGCTGGCGAGCTGGGCAATGGGAAGTGCAAGTCATCTCCCAGAGGGAAGTAGGCCCGGCCCGGGGGAGGGGCTGGGGGACTTGCCGGGGCGCCCAGGGCGCCCAGGGCGCCCGCCCCACGGTCAGTGCCTCCCCCGGCCCGAGGCCGTGGCCAGGTCTCCCTGGTGGAGCCAGGCCTGGTGGCCCTCGGCCCCCTCGTTCTCGTGAGACGCCCCTCGGCCTGCACCCCCTCTGCCCCCACTGCCCGTCTCCCGGGAAGCTGCCCCCAGCAAAGCTGTCAGCCAGCACCATGCCCCTCGGCTGGGCTGCCCCAGGGGGTGAGGGGGAAGGCTCAGCAAATAAACAAGGTTATGAAATATTGGGAAGTCTTTTTTTCCCCTCCAAAACTGAAAATACAGCGGAAGGCAGTAAAACTCCCATTTCTGCATCTGAGCTGTCCGGCCTGGCAGTCCTTCCTTGTGTCTGACTTAAATATGTAAAACTGCACTTCCACAGTGATAAACACTGGGAAAAGCAATGCGGAGCGGGGCCCCCAGCTCCACCAGCGATCGCACAGGAGTGGGCCTATCTGTGCCTCAGCTTCCTCATCTGCGAAAAGGGGATGATTAAGGAAGACCCATGCCATAAGATTTTCTTTTTTAAGAAAATATTTATTTATTTATTTATTTTAGACAGAGGGAAAGGGAGGGAGAAAGAGAGAGAAACATCAGTGTGTGGCTGCTTCTCGTGCACCCCCATGGGGGACCTCGCCCGCAACCCAGGCCTGGGCCCTGACTGGGAATCGAACCAGCAACCCTTTGGTTCCCAGGCCGGTCCTCAATCCCCGGAGCCACAGCAGCCGGGGTGATTTTCTAATGAAAACAGTTAATGCAAGCAAAACCCTTAGAACAGGGTTTTGTGAAGGTCCACGAACATCAGCTGTCTACACTGAAGAAGCGGGAGCAGGGCCTGGGAGAGCCATGAGCCCCCCGCCTCTCGCAGCGGCACGGCTCGCAGCAGCCAGGAGCTGGCAGCCCTCCGCGGCTCTACTGGCAAGTGCACGGATGAACAGCGGAACATTATTCAGCCTTACAAAGGAAGGGAAGTCTGGCGCATGCTACCCCATGGGTGAGCCGCGGGGACATTATGCTACGAGAAATAAGCCGGTCACAAAAGTCAAATACTGTATGATTCCACTTTTGGGAGGTATTTAGAATAGTCAAAAGCATAGAAATGGAAAATGGGGTGGTGATCGCGAGGGGCTGGGTAGGGGCAGAACGGGAGGGCGTTCCTGTTCGAGGAGCTTCAGTTTAGCAAGTGAAAGCAGCTCTGCAGACGGATTGCTGGGGTGATGGGCGCACCTCAGTGTGAACGCCCTTCATGCCTCGGAGCTGTGTACCCAAAAGGCTCAAAACAGTCCATTCTCTTATGCATATTTTTAAAAGACTTTATTTCTTTATTTTTAGAGAGAGGGGAAGGGAGAGAGAAACAGTCGGTTGCCTCCCGCATACCCTCAACCGGGGGCTTGGCTGGAAGCCCAGGCCTGGGCCCAGATGGGGAATCAAACAGGTGACCTTTGGGTTTGCAGGACAATGCCCAACCCACTGAGCCACACCAGTCAGGACTTGTTATGCATATTTTACCAAACGGGTTTGGTTTTGTTTTGTTTTGTTTTGTTTTGTTTTGAAGTCAGATGTCCCTTCTGAGCAGAGAAAGGGAGGCAGAGCCCCGCGTGGGGCGGGGGGAGGGCAGGGGGGCAAGGCCCTGCGCTGCGTGGGAGAAGCTGGCCACGGCTCCTGGCAGGGGGCTGGCACCCTTGGCCTCTGGGCTCACCTGCCAGTCTAGTGCTGGGCTGCCCCGTGGGGCGTGGGGCCGCAGGTGGCTGGGGACACTTGCACCAGCCTCTGATGGTCCTTTCCTGCTGTGGGCGGCGTTATTGGCTGACCCTCCCTGCAAGTGTCCAGCCTCTTGGGGACAGTCTCCTCAGATGTCAGAGACATAAGAATAGCTCCAGCCAGTCCGTCCCTGCCCCCCAGCCTCCGTGTGTGGCCCTCCACGCAGCCGCATCTTCAGGGACTTGCCCTCATGTCGGGGCCTCGGGAAGTGACCGGTGCAACACACAAGGGCAAGGCGGCCTCTCTCATGCCCCGGCCCCGGCTGCTGCTCAGGCGCAGCCATGGACACGGGCACAGGGGGCCTGGGCCGCCGGGGCCGGGCTGGCTGCTGAAGGCCTGCTCTGCCAAGGGCCATGCCTGCCCCCGCAGGTCGAGTCCTGCGGCCTGGGAGCCCTGCCTCCCCTCCTTACCCAGAAAGCTTCAGAAAGTCTCCCAATCTGTTTGGAGTTAGGAGTGGAGGCCTCACAGGAAAGCACCATTTGCACAATGAGGCGGCAGCAGGCAGCGCAAGCCGGGGCCCCCTCGGCACATCCCCGGCCTCTGTCGGGCTGGCCGAGCATGGCAGGGCCCGGCTGCCGCCTCCCATTCCTCTGTGGAGGAGACGGAATCCCCCTTCAGGCCAGGGCCCTGTGGCTCTGCCCCAGGCCTCGGGGAGAGGGCGGTGGAACCCATCTCGTTTCACCCTCCCCTCCGGACGCCCCCTCCCCTCCCACAAGCCCTTCAGGGGCAGGCTCATGTCCAAACCCAGCCTGGCACGGAGCCCCCAGTCCCAAGGGGGAGGAGGAAACTCCGCCCCAAGGGACACCCCCAGCTCCACCACCCAGGTACCCGGCCCCCGCCCAGGCTTGGGGGGGGGCGCGGCGCGGAGCAGGCACACACAGGGTGGGGGTGAGGAGGGGCACACAAAAGGGAGGAGGAGCAGAGCCTGAAAGAAGCAAAAGGGCAGCTGGTGCTCAGCCGGGAAATTCCTGAGTGGCGGCTCTTCCCTGAGGGCAGGGTTCCTGGGCTGAGGAATCGCAAGGGGGTGGCCGTGGGGGGGCCCTCTGGCCACCCCGCAACAGGCCCGAGACACAGGCCCTAGAGGGGGAATCGCAGGCCCAGGGAGGGGTGTGACCTACTCAAAGCCACCCCTACGAGGACAACGCTGGGTGAGTGCCCATCAAGCCCCAGCTGTTAGGGCCCTGGCTTTGCCGGGTGCAGCCTGTCCCTGGCCCAGCGCTGGCTGCAGCTGCAGAAAGGGAAGGTGCTTGGGGAGAAGTTCCCCAGGCCTGGATGTGAATTCCAACCGCGTCACTGTGGGAAGGCAGGGAGCCCAGGGCTGTTGCTCAAGGGCTGAGTGCCCCTGCAGCCCCCTTTCCCTTAGGGCACATCCTCCAGGAAGGCCCCCTCCCGGGCCTCTGCAAGACCACAGCGATGCCCAGGGTGGGACCGGCCCGCCCCAGACGGGGCGATCCTCCTGGGGCTGAGGGAGCTAGCTGGAGGGCGCTGGCTCTGTGACGAGAAACGGGGTCCTGAGCTGGGGGTGGCGGGGAGCTCTTCCAGTGAGCCAATCAGAAGCCGTCGCTGGACAATGGGTCAGCGCCAGGCAGGTCCAGCTCCTCCTGGGGTGAGGGTTCCCGCGCCCCAAATCCCGGCGCGGCGCTCCCCCAGTCGCGCCACCCTGCACCCGCCCTCCCTGCCCCGGTTGGTGGGAGGCGGTCACCCCCATCCACCCACACTCCCGACTGGACGCACGCAGCTCCTCCTCGGGGGGCGCTCACGCCCCAGGGCGCAGGGACCCGGCGCGCGCCTTGGCCTCCGCCCGCGGGTTTTCCGCTGCTGCTGACGGGGGTGGGGGGGGGCGCGCGGGGGCGGGGGGGGCGGCGGGGGCGGGGCCACAGCGGCGACTATTTCAGGCGGCGCCCGGTGGCCGGCGCAGCAGCTGTGCGTCCAGCAGAGTAAGTGACCTCCACCCCGCGGCGTCCGGAGTCCGTCCTCACCGCCCCGCGCGGCTGCCCGTCCTCCGAGGGAGCGGCCGGCCCGGCAGAGGGGACCAAGGGGCCGGCGATCCAAGCGCCCGAGGCCCCGCGCGGCCCCCCGCGGCCCCCCGTCCGGGGAAACTGAGGCCCCTGCCCAGAGCCGCTGCCCGTGGGGACGCAGGGGCCCGGCCGGGGGAGGCGGGGAGGCAGGGAGGGCGCGGCCGCGGGCCGGTGCACCCGAGCAGCTGGGGTCTCCGTGAGGCCACAGGCCGGGCCGCTCCCTCCTTGTCTTCGCGTACTGGCAGGTGAGGCGCGGCAGGCACACAGCCCGGCCGGGCCACTCCATGAGGACCGGAACCGGCCTCGGGGCTGCGGGGCCTTGAGTGGAAGTTTGTGCCCCAGGCGACGAGGCAGCGACGCTGGGGGGGGTCAGACGAAGCCCAGCATGTGTGGATGTGTGGACACCGTGGAGGTGGGAGTCAGTGAGGGCAGAGATGAGGCTGGTCGCGGTGGCCCTCTCCCTCGCTCCAGCGGGCCTGGGGGGCAGGGGCAGGCCCTGGGGTGACGCTCAGCAGCCCCAGGCAGCTGGCCCGACCAGCCCCTATGGGTGCCCGGCACAAGAATGGGACAGAGCGGCAGAGGACGCGGGACCCTGGTGTGGGGGCTCCCTGGAGCACCCCTGCTTGGTTCTAGAGAGGAACTGCCAGGCCAAGTGGCACGCAAAGCAACTATAGGGCCCTGCCCAGGGTACCCAGCGAAGCCAATGGGTGTGGGAACAACCAGGCTTCCTGGCCCCTCGCAGCGGGTGGGCAGCTGGGGAGGCAGCATAAACTCTGGAGAGTTGGACAGGCCTAAGCGGAGCCTCCACGCCTCCTGGGTGTGGGGGGCAAGCACGCCTCCCCGCCCCCTGCTGCCCCCCGCCACCCCCTGCGCTTCAGTTCCTCCCTCCGGATGCTGGGTTAGGCCGCCCACTGGCAGCGCTGGTTGCGGTGGGGGTGAACCAGGCATCGTGCACGCGTGATGACGCGGTGTGTTTACTCTCGGGTGGTAGAGCAGGCACTGTGGTTGCGGGTCACCCTATTTACCAAGCAGGCCTGGCCCTGTCTGCTTCCTGTTCCTGGCCGCTCCCTGGGGGTCAGCCCTGTCCCCCTCCCCCGCCCTGGCCTTGCTGGGACCAGGGTCGAGGGCCTTGGAGGATGGTGCTGGGCCCGAGGGGGACCTGCCTTTCTGAATGCAGCTCGCGAGGTGGCGGGGGACACAGGCAGGTGATGAGTTCCCGGCTCACGCGGTTGAAGGCAGGAGCCTTGGGGCCTCTCCGGGTCAGTTTTGCAGGACGAGGAACAGCGCACTCCTCCCGGGTGGCCGTGGGGAGGAGGTGGGGTGGGCGCCCAGGAAGGGCAGAGGAGGGGAGCTGTTGGGATGGCGGCGTCACCCCATTCGGGAGCTGTCAGGGAGAGGCAGGGGCCAGGAGGCCCGCGTTCGGGTCCGAGTCACCTTGCGACCTCAGGCGGCCCTTGACGCCTCCGACGCGTGAAGGGCTCGCCAGAACCCTGTCCCAGCCACTGGAGTTGCGGGGGCGCCGTGGTTGCCGCGGCCTGAGCCCCGAGGCCGCTCGCCTTGAGGTCCCAGCAGGAGTGGCGCAGGCTCTGCTCCCAGTGTCCCTCGGGGCCCCGCAGCCAGACAGGACCAGAGGGGGCAGGGCACGTTGGAGGTTGCGCCCTGGCTGTGTCCCTGCCTCAGCCCAGCCCTGGCGCCATGTGGCTCCCCGGACCGCTAGGCTCCGTGCGGTGGTCCTCTGGATCCTGCAGCCCTTGCTCTGTGGGATCTCAGGTGTTGGCACGGCCCGCAGCCCCCACCGGAGGGGGGCTGTCAAAGGAGCATCTGCCCAACGGAGCGAGGCCATTCCACCTGGAAGGCTCGGCCCCCCAGCTTCTCCCTGGCTCTGGAAGTTCTGGGAGCGTCTGGAGGGGAACCGGGGCTTGGGCACGGAGAAACTGGTGTCCAGAGAGCAAGCCAGCTGGTGCTGCCTGCGCGGGCCGAAGGCCAGAGCCCTGGCGGTCCTACCGGCGGCAACTGCTCAAGCTCACGGCGGTGCTGCTGCCGCACGGGCGCGCCGTGGCCGCTCACCCCTTTGCCCCTCCCCTTGCGCCCCGCAGGCCTGAGCCAGGGTGATGCTGAAGATGGTGACCCTCTTCCAGGCCCTCCCAGGCCAGCAGCCCCCACCGGGGGCCCTTGGCTGCCCCGGAAGACCCCAGAAGTCGTCCTCCACGTCGGAGGGGGAGTCGGAGGCCTCCATGTCAGAGGCCTCCTCTGAGGACCTGGTGCTGCCCCCAGAATCCGAGGGAGCCCGGAAGAGGGGTGAGCAAGAGGCTCTGAGGAAGAAGAAGCCAAAAGGCCTGGCCAACATGTTCAACATCTTCACCAAAGGGAGGAAGAAGAAGGGCCAGTCCCGCTCTGCTGAGCGGGAAGGCCAGGCTGAGTCCGGGCCCAGGCCACAGGACCCACTGCCCACAGGTAGGCTGGGGCCCCCCTGGGACTGGGGCGCCGTGTCAGAGGCGGCCAGGGCCTGGCAGGGCTAGGGTGCCCGCGCAGCTGGCCCACTGGTCCAGGACACAGAGTGGGCAGGGACCATGCGCTTGGAGGTGTCTTCCCTCCAGGCTTCCACCTAAATCTCCTGCCCAATCTTGGGGTCTGGGAGGGGGCAGACGGCTTCCGTCCTATCTGGGACGCAAACAGGCTTCTAGGGACGTATCACTTCGCCCTTCGGGCTCCACGGGCTCCACGGGCTCCACGGGCCTCCTCGCCATGGCTGGCCACACTAACGCGCTGTCTGGTCCTCCCAGTGGAGGAGCTCAAGGTGGACCTGGAGCGCGGGCAGCTGGAGGCGGCAGCGCCGCTGCTGCTGCTGGAGCGGGAGCTGACTGCGTTGGCGGCGGCAGGCGGCACAAGCGTGGAGGACCTGGTGCGGCGCCAGAGCAAAGTGGAGGCGCTGTACGTGCTGCTGCGTGACCAGGTGCTCGGCCTGCTGCGCCGGCCGCTGGAGGCGTCACCTGAGCGGCTGCGCCAGGCAGTGGCCGTGCTGGCAGAGCAGGAGCGCGAGGACCAGCGCGTGGAGGCCGCGGGGCCTGGGCCCGCGGCGCTGGCAGCCACGCGCCCGCGGCGCTGGCTGCAGCTGTGGCGGAGCGGCGTGGCGCAGCAGGCCGAGGAGCGCCTGGGCAGGCCACCGGCCGGGGACGCGGAGGGCAGCTCGGAGGCTCAGCGCACCTTCCTGCACATGGGCCGCACCCTGAAGGAGGACCTGGAGGCTGTGGTGGAGCGGCTGAAGCCGCTGTTCCCCGCTGAGTTCGGCGTTGTGGAAGCCTATGCCCAGAGCTACCACGAGTACTTCGCAGGCCACATGGCGACCCTGGCGCAGTTTGAGCTGTTGGAGCACGACACGTACCTGCTGCTGGTCTGGGTGCAGAACCTCTACCCAAAGTGAGTGGCAGGGAGGCACCGCAGCAACGGGAGGTACCGCAACCCTGGGCAGGGAGCGGGTTCGGCCAGGTCAGTGCAGGCCGAGCCCTTCGCTGGGTCCGCCTGGCACCTGGGATCCCTAATTTTTGAGCCTCAAACACACTCGGCAGCTGGGGACATGGGAGGAGCAGAGAATGGCAGGGACCTCATTCATGAACTGGCAAGGGTGGGGAGGATGGCGAGGACAACCCAGGGCAGGAAGGCTGTGGCAGAGGAGGCCGGGGCCTGTGGGAGCCCAGGGCAGGGCCCTCCCGGCCAGGTCAGGCCGGGGAGTGGGCCTCGGCGGCGCCCAGGAGGACACCGCCTGGCGCAGCGGGCGTGGCCTTGTTCACGGGGCTCCCCTGCTGGGAGAAGGAAGGGTCAGCAGGGGAGGGTGGCGGGGCTCGCGGCCGGAGGGAGTCCCTTCCTGGGCCTGAGGCCGAGCGGGGAGGCATTCAGGGCGCCGAGCAGAGCTTGTGGGCATTTGGAGTCATTGACGGGCTTCGGGGCCTCCCAGGCAGGTCCCAGACCAGGGCCGGGCAGGGCCTTGTGGCCCCTGGGAAAGGCCCCTGCTGGGCAGGGTCGCCCAGGCGGCGCACGGCCGGGCCGGATGCTGGCCGCCGGGGCTGCAGCTCCTCGGGTGGGGCCTGGCTGTGCCAGCGGAGGGACCCGGTAGCGGCGGTGCAGCCCCGGCGGCCCCCGATTTCCCCATTCTCCATGGACCTCTGAGTGCCCGCTGGGTGGGGAGGGACAGAATGGTCATCTTTGCACGGGAAGCCGGCGGTCCCGAGGGGTGGCCCGGCCCCGAGTGTGAAGCCGGCAGGGAGCCCGGAGGAGTAGACTGTGAGCGGTGTCTGAGGGTCTCGGGGACACATCTGGGTGGCCGGGGGCTCGGGTGATGCTCGGCCGCCAGCGAGGGCCAGAGGAAGGGCCAGGGGGCGTGGTGGTGAGGTGCCAGCAGGGCACAGGCAAGCCCCCAGGCGGGCTCTGGGGCCCCGAGCTGGTCCCGTCCTGCTTGTCCTGCCTGACTCCCCAGAAGACGCTGGGCACGGGCGCCGTTGCTGTCAGCCTTCCTGTCCCAGTGACTGGGGGCTTCCAGCCCGGGGCCCCGGGTCAGCACAGCGGCAGGCAGGCCAGCTGGGCCTGGAGCCCTGGGGCGGACGTAGCGTTCAGGGAGGCGTCGCTGAGGCCTGTGGCCGGAAGCGCAGGGAGCAAAGGGACATGGTGCCCAGGCTTTGAACGGGGCGGAGAGAGGGCCGCGCCGGAGCCTCCCGGAGACAAAGGCCCGAGGAAGTGCCAGGGCGGGGCTGCCGCTGGGGGGCCAGGACCCCGCAGAGGCGCCAGGAGGATGAGTGGAGCTGCTTCCGCCTCCGCGGAGCTCTTCCTGCTCCCACGGACCCAGCCTCTGGGGCAGCGGGGCCGGCCCGGCAGGGGCGGGGTGCGGGGCGGAGTGCAGGGGACGGGGCCGTGGGGGGGCACGGGGCGGAGGCTGGCTGCCGCTGCAGGCTGGTGGGCTTCAGGTGCGTGCGAGGGGAGGCCGTATTTTGCAGGTTTTGCCTGCTGGGTGGATGGTTGTCAGGGACCAGGGAGGAAACAGGAAGGCCTGGAAGGGGGCCCCTGCAGGGGGCCCCGCAAGAGATGGGGTGGCTCGGCCCTGGGCCAGGGAGGCTGGAGGCGGATCAGTGAGGGAGAGGTTTTGGAGCCCGAGCGTGTGAGAGGGTGAGGAAGTAAGAGAACCCATCATCGGAGCTGGAGAAGCAGGGATGGGGGTCCATGGGGGGCCAAGCCATGGATTTCAGGGCCCACAGAGACGAAGCCTAAGGGGGAGGGCGCTCGCCTAAGAGACGGTGCTGGGCGGGTGCCGTTTTCTTCATGCCAGCCGCCCTCTGCCCGCAGCGACATCATCAACAGCCCCAAGCTCGCCAGAGAGCTGCAGGGGATCGAGCTGGGGAGCCTCCTGCCCCCCCGGCAGATCCGGCTGCTGGAGGCCACGTTCCTGTCCAACGAGGTGGTAAGTCCGGCAGCAGCACCAGGGCTGGGACAGGGAGGGGCAGGAAGGAGACAGAGAGGAGGCTCGGGAGGGACGGGACATGGGCAGAGAGCTTGGCAAGGACTTCCACGCGGGCAGGGCGATGGGCTTCCTGCCACCCTGGCCCTGCCCCCACAGACCAGCGTGAGGGATCTGATGAACCGCGCCCTGAATCTGGAATCCCAGCACTGGGCCCAAGGTGCGGCGCCCCCGCGGCTGGGCGGCCACTGCCACAGCGAGCTGGCCATCGACATCATCCAGGTAGCGCAGCGCGCCCCTTGTGCTCACGGACAGCCCGCCGCGCGCCCATGCCTGCCTCTGAGCCCGCCCCCTGTGCCTGCGTGCCCCCAGCCCTACCCCAGCCCTGGCCCGGTGGGTCCCTGCTCAGCTTGCCCCCCCCCCCCCCCCCGCACAGATCCTCTCTCAGAGCCAGGCCAAGGCAGAGAACATCACGCCTGACCTCAGTGTGCAGATCAAGCCCCTGCTGGTGGTGGAGCTGGCTGCATTTCTGAGGAGGTGGGTGTGTGCGCGGCCTGCGCGGGGCCCTGCGGCCTCCTCCCTCAGCCCCGTAGGGGATCCACGCCAAGTCAGGGCCCCCAGCCCCTAGAGAGCCAGCTGTTACGAGCAGGAACGCGGCCCCCCGCCCTTCCCCACTGGGCACGGCGTGCCTCCACTCAGCACGGCTCCCAGCAAAGCGCCCTCCTGCTGCGGAGAGGATGCCCCGCAGGGCCTGGGACCCTGGCCTCCCGTTCAGGTGCCGCCTCCAGCGTGACCCGCCCCAACTCTCCTGGCCACCTCCCTTGCCCACCTCTGAGGACTTCTCCATCTGCCCTCGGCCCCCTCCAGTCTCCCCGATGTAGAGGGGCAGCAGAGCTGTGCTGGCCCCTGGTCAGGCGCTCTGCCCGGCCTGGCCCCACTGGCCTCAGGGTGTGAAGTCAGTCCTGTGATGCTAGGGGCCGGCGCCGCCCCGGGCCGTGGGGGCCCATCCCGGGTAAAAGCGCTTGCTCCACCACCCCGGGGAGGCCCGGTGTTTGTGCCGGTCTTGCAAGCGCCCCTTCTGGTTTCACCAGGTACCAGCGAGCCTTTGATGAATTTCTGGAGCGGTGCAGGCTGCTGAGAAATTACAGGGCCAATGTCATGGCCAACATCAATAACTGCGGGTCCTTGCGGTGAGGAGCTGAGGGCCCTGGGAGGGGGCGTGGGAGCAGGGAGCCCAGGGAGGGCGCTGCCTGCTGGAGAGAAGGGGTAGTGAGGAGGCGGCGCGAGCTGCGGGCACCGAGGTGGAACAGAGTAAGGCCTGCGGGGAAAGAGGCGAGCAGGGCCCGCACAGCAGGAAGCACCGGGGTGCCGGGGGTCAAGCTGCCAAGCACGCAGGCCAAGGATTTCCTGGTGATTTTATCCTTAGAACAGCCCTGTGAGGGGGCGCGGCAAGCTCACGGAGGTGCACAGAGGCTGAGCCGCGCACCCCCAGTTATAAGAGGGTGTGGCCTGGCGGGGGGGGGCGGTGAGCAGGCTGGGCCCCGCCGGGGGAGTGTGGGTGGGATGGCTTGGACCTGCTCCCGCAGGGAATAGAGACCCACGGAGGGGGCTAGAGTGGAGCAGTGGTTGAGGAAGGTTCGCCTCGGGCTGGCCGGCCCTCCAGGTCTGAGCTGCAGGCTGGGCAGGGCTGGTGTGACCCCCTGGCTCCCTGGCCTTCCAGGATGTCTGTGGAGCAGAACTGGCAGACGTCCCAGGACCTGCTGGGCCCCCTGAGTGAGCTCAAGAGCCACGGCTTCGACGCCCTGCTCCAGAGCCTGGCGGGGAGCCTGAAGGTAGCCGAGGCCTCCTTTCCGGGGCCCCTGCTGCGCCCGGTGCTGGGGACATGGGGAGGGGCGGGAGGGAGGGTAGAAGCCAAGGCTGGCCTGTGGGGGGCTGGGGCTGCCCGGGGGGACCGTGGAGGCCTTGGCCTTGCCCCCGTCAGGTCAGCCTGGAGCTTGGCCTCCGAGGGGCCGCCCAGGGCTGGGAGGGCACGGAAGAGCTTTGCTGGACCCCACCCTTTTAGACTCAGCCCAGTTTGCCTCCCTCGCCCCCACCCCCCCCTTTTCCAGCCTATCCCCAGACCTAACTGCCAGCTGTGATGCTCAGAGCCTTGGCAGCCACCCATGGCCCCCTCTTCTGGGGCCAAGGAATCCACAGAAAGCCCCTAGTTCCTGCAGCAGAGGGCGAGGCCGGCCGGCGAAGGGTCGGGGGGGTTCCCTGCCTGCCCTCCAGGGGGCCGCCTGGTCCCCAGTGACCAGAGCCGGAGGCCAGCCGCCCAGCTGGGCGGCCTGCTGGGGTGAAGTCCAGACTCCCGCCCTGGGGACTTGGCAGCAGTCAGGCATGGGCCTTGTTTATGCAGGAATTTATTTGTTTAAAGAGAGGGCAGGGGTGATGAGATGGCTTTGACTTCGAAGGAGCCACAGCCGGCTGACCTTGGAGAAGGGCACACAAACCCACCCCCCCCACTTCCTGTCTGCGACCCGAGCTCAGGAGCTCAGTCCAGGTTCCCTGGCGGCCCTGGAGGCGGTGTGTGTCTCCCTGCCGCGGGCAGCCCTTCCCCTGCCGGGCAGGCCCAGACGCCCTGCCCCTCTCCTGTCGCAGCCCCTGTTCAAGAGGTTCAAGCAGACCCGCTGGGCGGCCGCTGCGCAGACCACGGAGGAGATCGTGCTCACTGTGGAAAGGGCGCTGCCTGAGTTCTCGGGGCTGCAGGACTCTCTCCGGGAGGTGAGGGCCCTGGGCTGGGGGCTGGGCGCGGGGCGCTGGGCCGGCAGGGGCTGCAGCCTGAGCACACGGGCCCACGCAGGTGTGTGCACCCCCACGAACACTCGCGTGCGTGCACCCCTTTGCTCTGCCCCCTGCCCCTCCTTGGGCGCCTGGCTTCGAGACTTCAAGGGAGGCGGTGAGCTCCCCGCAGGGGGTGGCTCACACGGCCCTGTCCCCGGCCCACGCAGGAGCTCATGGAGCTTGTCCACCTGCACCTGGTGAAGGAATACATTGTGCGGCTCAGCGCAGGGCACCTGGTCCTCAAGACTGCGGAGCAGCAGAGGCAGCTCGCGGAGCAGATCTTGGCCAACGCTGACCTCATCCAGGACTTCTGCATTCAGAACGTAAGCCCCGACCGCCAGGGATGGGCCGCCCCTCTCCCTCTGGGCCTCCCTGAGCTCCAGCAGGTCTGGCCTGAACCTCTCTGGGCCCCTGGGTGCCCTCCCGGAGCAGAGGCGGCCTCCCTCCAACCCGGCCTGCACTTGCAGGGCTCCCCGGCGGCCTGGCTGCAACAGGCCCTCCCCACGCTCGCCGAGATCATTCGCCTGCAAGACCCCAATGCCATCAAGATGGAAGTGGCCACTTACGCCACCTTGTACCCCGACTTCAGGTGAGAACGGAGCACCGCACGACCTGGGCAGTCGGCATGGCCCTGCCGGCCCTGCCGTGGTCAGAGCCCAGCGTGGCTGCAGTCCGCCCCTTGGGGTGCGTGGAGCTCGGTAGTGGCCGCGCAGCGCAGGCCTGGTGGCCAGTCTTGGCTCAGTGCTGGCTGTGCCAGCCGCTGTGCTGGCCGCCGTGCCGGGGTCCTGCAGCGCAGCTCACTCGTGGGATCCTCGCCGCAGCCCTGCGCGGCTGGCACACGAGGACCGGGGAGGAGAAGGCAGGCGTGCAGCGGGACGCGGCGAGTCGGCGGTAGAGCTGAGGTGAATGCAGCAGTCTGGCTCCACGGTCGGCCTTTAAGGTGCTGCCTCTCAGAAGGGAAGCTGAGGCCAGAGAGACCAGGGACTCGCTAGAGGCCATGGCATGTCAGCGATGCCGCTGGGGTCCCAGTCAGCCTAGAGGGCCTCGGGGACGAGGACCTGGGCCCAGGCTCCTCTTCCAGAGAGGAGCAGCCAGGGGGCTGTGAGCCAGGGGGGTGGTGTCTCTGGGCATCCCGTGGCACGGAGGGCAAGTCTGAATGCGCCCTGGGCCGGAGTAACGGCTCAGCCCGATCCAGCCCAGCCCGCCCGCTGCTCTAGTCAGCGTAGCCGCCCTCCCCAACCCCTGCACTCGCCCACCTGTTCACCCACCCACACAAGCCGCCATCTCCCCCGCGGCTCATCTGGCCACGTACAGGGGTGGTTATATAGCTCTCCAGCGATAGACGAGGGGGCACTCCAAAAAACCGGAATTTATTTATAAAAAATTGTGTATTCATTCTTACATGTTTAAACGTCCGTGACCTTCAAAATACTCTCCATTGGACGCAACACACCTACTGAGGCTTTTTTTTCCACTGCTCAAAACAGTTTTTGAACTTGTCGATTTTGATGCCTTTTAGGGCTTCTGCCATTCTTTTGTTTCACCTCTTCCACATCAGCAAAATGTTTCCCTTTGAGGACTTTTTTCATCCAGTGAAACAAAAAAGTCTCTCGGGGCGGGACTGGGTGTATAGGGAGGGTGGCGCACCGGGTCTTGTCATTTTTAGGCAAGAAGCTTCTCGCAACAGTGCCAGCTGGTACACAGATACAGATGGGTTCTCAGAATACTCACCTAGCGGGGCCTGTGTGACAAAGGGCCTGCCCCCCAGAAGATAATTCCGGTTTTTGGGATGCCCCTCGTACTTACTCACCCATCCCTATATCTACCCATCCAGCCACCCTCACACTCACCTGTCCCTCGACCTACTCATCCATTGTCCATCCACCCCCACCCATCCATCCATGCATCCATTTATATACCCGCTCATCCCTCATCCTTCCATTTATTCATCCATCGTTCCACCTGCTCGCTTATCCACCTGTGCATCTATTCACCCACCTATCCATCCTTCATCCACCCCTACCCCTCCATCCCCTCCTCCACCCACCCACCCATCCACCCACCCACCCACCCATGCATCTTTCCATCATCCACCTCCACCCATCAGCTCACTCGTCCATCCCTCCACTCACCTCCCACAACAAGTACTGAGGGGTCCGCCAGGTGCCAGGCTCTGTCCCCGGCACCGGGTGCCATGAGGTAGAAGACAGACCTGGTTTCCCTTCTCCCCCATGTAGCTTACAGTCTACTGAAGGTTAGCAATAATGAGGTCATCAGGCATGGAAATATGATTCCAAATTGTAAAGATTATTTAAGCAACAGGAGGTGCTGACTTGAGAGGCGGGAAAGGCTCCAGGCGGAGGTGACATTTTAGCTGAGACGTACAGAGCGGGAGGAATGGGTCCTCTCAGGGGCATGTGGATGGGCAGCCCGTCCAAGGCTTGCGACAGGCAGCCGCTCGCTGTGCTCTAGGGACGGACAGGTGGCCGGTGCTGCTGGACCTCCGTGGGCGGCCCGCGCAGCCCCGCCTGGGGGTGGGGGCAGGCTGCAGGGCACGGCGCTTGGGCCAGGGGTCTGGGGAGCTGGGGCGGGGCGTGAGCAGCGGTGTCGGCGACCAGGCTGGACTGACCGTTCGCTCTCCTCACCAGCAAAGGCCACCTGAGCGCCATATTGGCCATCAAGGGGAACATGTCAAGCAGCGAAGCCAAGAGCATCCGGAGCATCCTGGACGTCAGTCCCAGGGCACACGGGCCCTTCAAGTCCCTATTTTCTCTTATAAACGTCAGTTAGCATTTCCTGCAGCCTGACCCGCTGTGAGCGCGGCAGGTGGCAGACCCAGCCCTCTGCGGGGCATCACCCGCCAGGGGGCAGTTCAGGCCGGCACCGGCATCACAGCCCCTCTCGGGCCTCCTGCCTTCTGCCGCTGCTTCTGCCCGGCCCTGGCCGAGGTGCCGGCCCCTGGCATCTGGCACTGGACAGGCCGCGGGCTGTTGCCAGTCCCGTGGGGCTGGAGCACCCGTGGTGAGGAGCCAGTGAGGCCACCCCTGAAGAATGACAGTTGCCTGTGTGCGCTCATGGAGGGAGAGCAGCCAGGGCCAGAGATCCCGGCCCCCCGTCCACAGGGCCCTCCCCAGCCTGCCTCCCAGCCGCCCTCTGTGTGGCCCCATCCGAGTGCCCGGGCCGCGGACCCGCCCTGCCTCCCCCGCTTCCCTTGCCCAGGGCTGGCTCAGCAAGTCTGTGGGACGGAAGGCAGCTGGAAGGAAAGAAGGGGAAGAGGAGCTCTTATCTGGGGCCTGGAAGGGCCCCCCCAGCAAGCTGGGGCCCCGCCGGCACTGAAGCCCCCCTCCAGAAGGCACGGGGACCCCTGCGGCTCGGAGCCTGGCCTCTCGTTGCCCACGGGCACCCCCGAGGGTGGGCCCAGGAGGGGACCTCCGGGGGTCTTCTAGAGCTCAGCCTGCCCCCCATGCAGGCCAAGATGCGGGACCTCTGACCCCCTGACCCATGTCAGTTTCTTCCTGCTGCTGTAACAAATTTTCATACACAGCAGCTTAAAGCAAGACTTACTCAGCCCTGAGGCCCCATGCAGGTCTGTGGGCTCAAGTTAAAGGGGGAGGGTGTCCCTTCAGGCCTGGTCCAGTTGTGGGCGACCCCCCCAACCTTGGCTCACAGCCCTGCCCATTCTGAAGCCTCGCCCCATCCCAGCGCTTCCCTCCTGCCCCCGTCGTCCATTTTAAGGGCCCTTGGGATTGCCCTTGGCCCAGCCAGGTGACCCAGGAACCCCTCCCTATTTGTCACGTCAGCAGATTGGCAACCTTGACTTCACCTGCACCCTTCACTCCCCCTCACGTGGGACCTCGCGTAGTTGCAGGTGCCGGAGATGAGGACGTGGGCTTCTGTGGGGGCCACGGTTTTGCTCACCATGGCCTCCACTTGTCCCCTGCCCTGCCGGACACTCTGTGCTGCCTCTGAAGACGGGTTCAGTTGCCCCGCCATGGACCCTCTCCATGGCGGGGGGCGGTGCAGCTCTCTTTCCAGGTACTTGGCTGGCAGCTCGCCCGCGCCAGCGGCACCCCGGGGCCTTTGTACACTTGTAGAGTTAGCATGTTTGATGTTGTTAATATTATTTTTGATAATACTGCTTTTGTAGATGCCTACTCAGGACGAGGTCTGGGTTTTTCTAGTTGGATATAAAGCTGGTTTCAGAAGTGGCTGTGCAGTGACTTCTTTGGGCAGCGGGGGTGGGCATCAGAGACTTCCCCAGGCTCTCGCAGTCCTGGGCAGGCCTGTCCTGGCTCCGCCGCAGTCCCCCGTGGGTCCAGCCCCGCAGCACTTGCCGGCCCCTCTCACCGGCCAGCAGGGGCTTGGGCGGGGCCTGCCTGCAGCACCGCCGGTCACGCCCCCGCCCCCGCCTGCACACGCCTCCCCGCAGTCCTTTCCTGAGGCGGGCGGGGCGGGGCGGGGCGGGGCGGGGCGGGGCTGCTGGGACTCTGAGCAGCCGTTTCCGCTCGGTGCGGGGCGTCGGCGGGAACGTGCTCTCAATGCTGCTGGAATTGACCCGGAAAGCTGCACCTGCGCACAGGGGGCCTGCGGTCTGCACAGAGGGGCCCCGCTCACCGTGGGGCGTGTTGCCGGACCACAGGGGCCCGTTTGCCGCGCACATCAGAGCCAATAGGAGGCGGGCAGGAGTCTGCAGCCAAGCAAGGGCGGGTTTACGGAGGAGGCTGCGTCCCAGGTCGGCCGTGCCCCCACCCCAGGGCCGACAGCGGCTGTCCGGGAGCTGCGGCTGGTCTCTCAAGGGTGCAGCTGGGGGTCGGCCTGGCGCTGAAGCACAACCGAGGTCTAGATGTTACCTTGTTTCATCAAAACTCTGTCTGCGGCCACCAGACATGAAGCCTTTTGTGAAGGCGGCTGGATGCCGCCCAAAGCCTCATTGTTTTGAGGACTTGATGACTGGGGGGGGGGGGGGGTTGGGGGCGCGGGGCGGGGGGGTGAGTCACAGCACTGGCTGAGGCCAGTCCGAGCCGGAAAATATCCACCCGAAGGGCAGACCAAGAGAAAACGAGGTTCCTGTGCAGCTACAAGGGGCTTACCTCGGCACTCCCACCCTGGCCCAGGGTGAAGGGGAGGGAGCAGTGGAAGGAGGTGCCCGGCCTGGTCCATTCCACGGAGGGGGCGCACGAAGGCACCGCCTTTGGGGCGCGGGGTCCTGCGGGAGAGGCCCGGATCTCCGCGCCTGGGCCAGGCTCAGAGGGGCTGGGGGCGTGGCGGGGAGGCCACGTCCGTGGGGCCAGGAAGGATGGGCGGGACCCTCAGCGCAGCGGGGAGAAGGGAGGGAGGGGACAGCAGCCCCAGGAGACTGTGGTCCGCGGGGCGCCGGGTGCGTGGCCCTCGGCTGGTTGGAGCCTTGTGGGGAGATGCGGCCTCGGCTCAGTTTCTGGGGTCACTGCTCCCTGGCTTGGGGGGGCACAGAGAGGAGGGGGACGCAATGTCGAGAGCCCAGGACCAAGAGGAGGTTTTAGTGGATGAAAAAGGGGCCACACAGGGCACCCGACAGGCCCGGGGGAGCCCGCATGGCAGCCTCACAGACTCAGAGACCAAAGCAGCCACACAGGAGGCTCTGACGCGAAAACCTCCAACTGCAAGCGGGTCACGGCCGGCGGTCCCGCCCTGGGCTAGTGGCTCCCTCGACCAAGGTCGGTCTTTGCCTTAACTGAGCCCCAACGATCGCCTTTTCCACCTAAGATAACATGCCTTTGGAATGTCAGCCTGATCTTCTTTTCCAGCCCCCCAGGGCTCACCGGCCTGCACCAGAGCCCAGCCCCCCACCCCGCAGCCTGTCCCCCCACACCGTCTCCGTGGGCGGTAAGTGCTCACTGTCCCGGACTCGCCCGCCCACCTGTGTGGAAGGCGTGCGTCTCTTACTTCCTATCCAGTCCCGGAGATTCCCTGGCTTTGTTTTCTCCCGCCCCCCTAATCTACCACCCATGGATTCACATGACCCCCCTTATGTCTCCTCCTCTGATGCTAATGTATAAAATGAGGTGCAAAACTGCTGTTCTTGGAAGCACTTTCCTAATCCTTGGAGATTTTGCTTCCCGGCAGCTGTCATCACTTGGGCTCAAAGAAACTCATAAAAATTCTTACAGCCCTCACCTGTGTGCTCTGTTGGGGGGGTGCCGTCCTGCAGGCCAAAAGGCTGCAGGTTTGATTCCCAGTCAGGGCATGTGCCTGGGTTGCAGGTTTGCTCTGGCTGGTTGCACATGGGAGGAAACGAATCGATGTTTCTCTCTCTCTCTTCCTCCCCCCCACCCCCCGCCCCGCTCCTCTCTCTAAAATCAATAAACACGCCCTCAGGTGAGGGTTTTAAAAAATTCTTACAGGTTTGGACATTTCTTATGTCAACATTTTAAATGGAGGCAGAGGTGAACAGACTTGAGAGGGTGGATTTAAACCAGAAAGCACCCGCCCCCAGCCTTGCTGTGGCCTGGGTGGGCAGGCTCGCGGGGGCCGCCGCGTGCAGGGGTGGGGGGGCAGCCTCGAGGGGGGGCTCAGAATGCGGGGGCAGCTGCAGGGACCCGGAGGGGGGCCTCTCCGGGGCGGCCTGTGCCCACAGCACTCCGGGGCAGCTGGCTCCAGGCCAGCAGCAGGGACTGCTGTTCCTGCCACCAGGGCAGGGGAAAGGGCTTGAAGTCCCTCCAGAGTCACCAGTCCCAGCCACCGCCAAGGACTCTACACCAGCGACACCCCCGCCCTGCCCCCGCGCCCCGCCCCCCGCCGCCCACCGGAGACCCCCAGTAAGGGAAGGACCTCAGAGCGCAGGAGGGGAGCCTGGGCGGGGCCTCTGGGGCCACCTGCTCTCTTGGACCCGGACATGGGGCCCCGCCCCTCCTGTGGACCCCGGGACCCGTCCTCCAGCCCAGCCCCTTTCCCTGCTTGGGGCAGGGCGATGCGGAAGGCGGCCCGGCGGCCCCTAAGGCTGACATTCCTGGGGCCCCCAGAAACGGGACAGTTCAGGTCCAAGGGCAGGGGGTGGCCGGGGAGGGGGCGGGCGGCAGAGTCACTGGGGCAGCCCTGTGGCCAGGGGGAGCGCTCCCCGGGGAGGGGACGGTTGTCTGGGGACCCCCGGCTGGAAGGAACAGTGCGGGGAAGGGTCCCCGTGTCAGGAAGACAGGGCCGGGGGAGGGCGCGGGTGCAGGCAGGGAGTGGAGCAAGAACCCACCGGAGCGGGGCTGGACTCTCGGGGCCTTCCCTGGGCGGGGGCGGGGTTCGCTGCCGCCGTAAAGAAAAGGTCTGGGCCTGAGAAAGAGTATGACTGCGACTCGGAAAGATGCTTCGGGCTGCTGCACGGAGAGCGGGGGACAGTGGGCGACCAGGCGGCCACGGCAGGGGCTGGACGAGACCCCAGTCCATCCAGCCAGGGGGGCGCGGCGGGGGGCGCCTGGGGTGCTGCTTCCTGGCAGGGTGGCCTGGGAGCGGGGTGAGGCCCTGGGGGTGGAGTCTGAGGAGCTAAGTCCCAGAGGCCTGCAGAAGGGACGGCGGCTCGTGAGACTGTCCAAACCCAGTCGGCGGCCACTCTGTACGGTCGGGCTGGCGGCCTCCCGGCCGCCGGGACTCGGGGCTCTGGGGCTACGGCCTGCGCAGCCCCGCGCAGGGCCCCGCCCACAGGCCCGCCCCCGCGACCCCCGCCCCTACCCCGCCAGGGACGCGCCTTAGCGAGGCGCTCACGTCCCAAGGGCGCAGGTACTAGCGGCTGACCTTGATCGTAGCTGCAAATACTGGAAAGTCCCTCAGTGTCAGGAAACGCCCCGAACAATGCGGTGCCAGGCAGCTGTGAACGCGGAGGGGGCTCCAACAGGTAACGTTCAAGGTAGGCAAGCAGGCGCCTGCAGGCCAGCGTTGGGGGCGCCGCCTCCAGATGAAGCAGAGCGGAAACGTGCCCTTTCCGCTCGCCCACAGGCGTGGGTCGGGCGGCCTGGAGAGCACCCCAGGAGGTAGCAGTGGTCATTTGTGGGTGTGCACACAGGGGGAGGGGTGCTGGCGGGGAGGGAAGGAGGCCGCAGTGGCAAGGGGCTGCTTCATGGTACAGCCTGTTTTAATTGTTTATTATTGAGCCATGGGAATGTGCCGGGTACTGACCATTTATAACCTAGCATTTCATCGAGAAAGGGAAGCGTGCGTTGCTGGAGGTTCGAAACGAGAAGGTGAGGCCCGCGGGGCTCAGGTGGGACAGTCCAGCCGTGTCCAGCGCCCGCTGGAAGTGGGTTCTCAGCCTAGTTCAGCGCCAGGTGTCCAGCAGCAGCCACAGTACCCATCGCTGGCTGTGGTCATTACTCCACCGGGTGTCACGGCCACTGAACGGAGACAGTTACCTGAAGACGGAACTGGAAAGCTGGCCTCCAAGGAACTGCAGAGAGATGTCAAGGGGAGAAAAGGGGGAAAGGGTCAGCATACGCGAACCCACACATCCGCCAAGGCAGTGGGCCGGGCGCCCCGTTTGCGGGGTGGCTGGGTGGCCACGCTAACCGCCCGCGGCTCCCTTCTCCCCCCACTCCCCCTGGCCTCCCCCTCCTCAGCCAGGACCCCTGCCAGCGGGGGGCCTTCACTCGATGAGATGACCGGAAGCCCGGGTCCCGAGGGGTCTGCGTCCTCGATCGTGACACTTTCTGTGCGCGGCTTTCCGTTCATCTTTACTGTTGGCCCTGGAAGCCGTAGGCAGAGCTGCGGAGCACCCCGGCCCGCGCCCGTACCCAACTGCCGTTTCCCTGGGCGACCACGCCCTGTCCCTCGGCCACTAGAGCAGCCTCTTCTTAGGGCCTTGGCTCAGGGGCATAATAGGCCCAACGCAGCGTCATCTTTCAGTCCAGTGAAGGCGCCGTGTGCCCCCGACCAGCGTTCCCCCGTCGTGGCCCGAGCCCTGACTTCAGCGGCGCTGGAGGTTGGGTGTAAGGGGCGAGGCCCCCCCTACGCCCACTCCTTGCTCCCAGGGCCACGCGCTTTGGCTGCTGCAGGGCCACAGCTGTGTGTCGGGACCCTGTGGCACAGCCCTGCCTTTCCTGGACGCTGCTGCCCAACCAGCACCGAGACCAGACGTGCGGTGAGTGCCCCAGCCTCCCGCAGCCAGTCACCTCCGGGGACGG